AAGCCGTCGATGCCATCCTCAAAGCTAACCAGAGGGTTAAGCAGCAAGCTGGCCGACGACCCCGAGACTTAACGCTCGCCCGTGACAATTGGTCTTGCTCGACACCATAAACTTGGGAATCCCCCTCCCAAACAAATTACGACCAAGATTTTGCGGCCCATTCTGCATCATCCGCATGGTGACACCAGTCACCGCCCAGCTGCATCTGCCGGCCGACTTGCAAATTCACGATTCATTTCACGTCAGTCTCCTGCGACCGTTCGTCCCGAGTATGACTTATATTGACCATCAGTATATCAATCCTACGGTCAACCCAATACCCGAGGCAACGATCGAGTCGTCCAAGATTCTCGCTCATCGTGTATGAGGCCATCGAGATACAGCAGCCGTTGATTTCCTTGTATGATGGGTTGACCGTAGAACAGACGACGATCTTTGGGTCCCCGCAGCTATGCTCAGCGAACATTGAGTCGTCCGGGACTATTTACACTGACGACGTGTCCCGGATGTGGGTAGTCTCATCCCGAAAGGGGGGGTGGTGTAAGGAAATCCCCTTTTCCTTACTGGGCTCGACTACAGCGCATACGCCCTCGACTCTTGGAAGTCCAGGCCCGGCCAACTTCTTCGGTCCCGAACCGCTTCGCAAACCCAAACCTAGACGCGCAGTGCTTCCGTGGTTCTCGGCTAGCTCTGTTCGTGCCTATAAATGCCTAGGCCCTCATTTGTATCGACACTCTTGAATCGCGACTCCTTACTACACTACGTGCTATTACTCTGATTAATTCATAACAGCTGGTATCAGAGCTCTGTTCCTTCCCGCTTAGTCTTTCGTAGAGTAGTCCGTTTATATCGGGGGAGGACCAAACACAAAAAAAAAAGGGTTGGCCTGCGGTTGGTAGGTGAGCTCGTTAAAGCTCCTCCAACTAGAAGCGTGTACACCCTCAGATCTGTCAGGTAAAATTTCCAGCATGCCTACCACGCCGGAAACCTCTGCCCGTCGTAGTGTTAGGAATGTGACTCAGGAGAAGTTTGACGAGTTGCAAGCCAGGGCGGCTACAGTGACGACACTGCAGGCCCAGCTTCAACAACTTGCCGATACGTTCAAGTCGCTGGGAAGCGAAGTACAGACGCTGCGCAACGAAAACTCCTCGTCATACGCGGGGTGAAACACGTCAGGGGCAGCCTGTTACCCGAGACGAAGATGCTGCGAGCAAAGCGAGGGCGTCAGCGACACCTGAAGCAGTTGAAGAAGTCCACAACGAGTTGCGCGCGGCCATTAAAATCAAACCTCCGATGTCACCGCCATTCAACCCGACTGACAGAACAACTACAATGAGCGGTTGGTTGTTCGCCATGGAAATCTTCTTCACAACCGGAAGTATTAATGACAACGCGTCACGTGGAAACTTGGCTGTGTCGCTGCTGAGGGGATCGGCACTCGACTGGTGGCGAATGCATCAAGACGAGGGAGGAGCCCCGTCAGTGAATCAACGGGTGGTAGTTGGGGAGCACGGTTCATCAACGGCCCAGGCAGAACCGATCTTTGGGTCGGCCATGATCCGCACGTGGAAAGTGTGGGGCGAAGCATTGAAGAGCCGATTCGAGCACATATCCATGCGCGAAAACGCTCGCACAAGGCTTCGGATGTGGAGACAGCTGGGCTCTATCCAAGATTACACGGCTTCGTTCTTGGCATTATGCAATCAAATCGGAGGGCTTAGCGAAGACGAGAAGATCGATCGCTACGTGGGTGGTCTCAAGCCAGAGATTCAGCAAGAGATCGTCCTGCGAGCCCCGGCAACATTCAACGAAATTGTCAGAATCGCGGATGCGCTGGACGCAAGGCGTGGACTCGCGAGGGCAGGTTTCTAGGAGGGAAATCGCTTTCAAGGCCAGCCCCAACACACATCAATCAATGGCGTGGACGTGTTTGCAGCCCAGGTGGACTTCGAGGCCAGCTGGACTACTTGTTCGAGAAAGGTTTCGTTCGCCCCAGCACATCACCATTTGCAGCTCCGATCCTGTTCACGCCGAAGAAAGATGGCGGTTTGCGTATGTGTATTGACTACCGCGCCTTGAATCGGGTTACCATCAAGACTCGCTACCCCATTCCACGTGCAGAAGACCTCATCGACCAAACTCGCGAGGCCAGATTTTTCTCGAAGATTGACCTGCGAGACGGTTACCACCAACTTCGCGTGCGCGAAGCTAACTGCTACAAGACGGCGTTTCAAACACGGTATGGGAGTTGCGAGTACACAGTCATGCCCTTCGGCTTAACAAACGCGAATCGACCTTCCATTTGACCATGAACGAGATTTTTCTACCACTACTGGATAAGTGTGCCATCGTGTACCTCGACGACACCCCCATCTACAGCACCACCCGGGAGTAGCATTTAAAGGATTTGGAAGCAGTGTTCTCTCTCCTGCAGCAGAACCGACTCATCACCAAGGGCTCTAAGTGCGAGTTTTTAAAACACGAACTGGAGTTCTTGGGTCACATGATTTCAATCGACAGTGTTAAAATCGACCCAAAGAAAATTGCGACCATCCAAGACTAGAAGCCGCCGGCTAATCTACGCGAACTTCAAAGTTTTGGGGGGTTTGTTAATTACGTCTGCTGTTTCATGTCCACGACAAGGAGTTACTCGCCATCGTCCGCGTAACAGTCCGAACAGACCACAAGTCGCTACAGTTCATCCGCGTCCAACCGACACTGAATCTCAGACAGATTCGTTGGCTCGACTACCTCGAGTCCAATTTCCACTATAGAGTCACTTACAAACGATGGGACAGCAACATCACCGACGCACTTATCCGCCCCTCGGTCCACACTGCCGCAGTCCTAAATACCCAAGCTAATCTGCTGCTAACTGGCCTATTCACCCATGGATACGGTACTGACCCATTCTTCACCACTAACAGTCATCCCCAACTGACGGTTCAGCAAGGGGCCTATTATCTAAAATCTGGTTCCAATCGGATTTGGGTTCCCGCCTACCGTACCCTACAGGAATTATTGATCCAGGAGGCACATGACTCGAATTTCTCAGGTCACTACGGCATCGACACAACCGTAAAATTACTGAGCCGTAATTATTACTGGCCTGACCTACCGACAGACGTGCAGCAGTACGTCACCTCCTACGCCACGTGTCAACGCATGAATTCTTCCCGACTTCGACCTGCTGGATTGCTGCAGCCGCTCGAGCCATCCAGCCGACTCTGGCAACAAGAGACGATGGACTTCGTCACTGGCCTACCAGCTGGTTCAAGCGGTAACAACGCGATCCTCGTCGTCGTTGACCGGTTGACCAAAATGGCCCATTTCGCTGCCTGCAAGACAACAATTACTGCCGAGCAGAGAGCGAAACTATTCCTCACGAACATCGTACAACGACACGGCATCCCATGGGCAATCATCAGCGATCGTGGCCGACGGTTCACGTCCAACTTTTGGACAAAAACCTGGCAGCAGTACGGCACACGTCTGCATCTGTCTACGGCTAACCACTTGCAATCTGACGGTCGGACTGAGCGCACCAATCAGACGATGGAGCAGTTGATTCGCACGACATGCACAGACCCGGCCCAATGGGAAGTCTCCTTTCCCTTGATCGAGTTTGCGTACAACAATGCCCCATCGGCACAACTACTCAGTCCCCGTTCTTCCTTAATTACGGGGTAGATCCGACAACCCCTCTATCACCACCGATAGAAATCTGGCACCAAGATCTCAGCAGTTCGTCGAAAATCTCCGACAGTCTCAGCAAAAAGCCGTCGATGCCATCCTAAAAGCCGACCAGAGGGCTAAGCAACAAGCTGACCGACGTCGCCGAGACTTAACACTTGCCCCTGAGCAATTGGTCTTGCTCGACACCCGGAATTTGGGAATCCCCTTCCCAAATAAATTACGACCAAGATTTTGCGGCCCCTTCCGCATCATCCGCATGGTGACATCAGTCACCACCCAGCTGCAACTGCCGACCGACTGGCGAATCCGTGATTCGTTCCACGTCAGTCTCCTGCGACCGTTCGTCCCGAGTGCGACCAATCTCGACCGTCAACATATTAATCCTACGGTCAACCCAGTACCCGAGCCGATGACAACGCCGTCCAAGATCCTCGTTCATCGTATACGGGGACATCGAGACACAGCATCCGTTGATTTCCTTGTACGCTGGGTCAATCGGACAAGTGACGACGACCTCTGGGTTTCTGCAGCCACGCTCGGTGAAAACAGAGTTGTCCGGGACTATTTATACCGACGTCGTGTCCCGGATGTGGGTAGTCTCATCCCGGAAGGGGGGGTGGTGTAAGGAAATTCCCTTTTCCTTACTGGGCTCGACTACAGCGCGTACGCCCTCGACTCTTGAAAGTCCAGGCTCGGCCAACTTCTTTGGTCCCGCACTACTTTGCGAACCCAAACCTTGACGCGCGGCGCTTTCGTAGCTTTCGCCAACCGGATCGCCCCAACATGTTCGCATGGTCCTCGGCTAGCTCTGTTCGTGCCAATAAATGCCTAGGCCCTCATTTGTATCGACACTCTTGAATCACGACTCCTTTATTACACTACCTGTTTTTACTATGATTAATTCATAACATGTACAATGTCTGGTGGAATGGATGTGTTGCAAGAAATGTGGAGGAAATGGGATCAAACAATCACATTGCTTCAAAAGCAAATTCACAGGAACCACGAGTTAAGGTTGTTCCACTTTCGCGTCCAGATTTGAGCTGGTACCGCGTATCGAGTCCTGCGTTAGCGGCCTCTTTTACGTCGTTACAGAACTCTTCGCAAAGAAAATCAGCAACATCAATATCGTCCATCCAGCGGTTCAAATAGTTCAACAACGATATCGTCACCCAATTCCGGACCTGCGCCTGGCGGGAAATCCAGTCAACTAGACCAGGCCCACCATATTCATCTGGCGGTTTGGAGCGGCGGAAATGGAACAGACTGAACCAGCCAACCCCCAGAAGCAAGCAGGCTTCGAACTTCCTTCGGTATCTCATGTTCTGCCAGGAGGAATTAGGGGGGAGCGGCGGCAGGCAGACGCGCCGCCAGTTGCTTCTCGTTCGACAGGCTCAAGAGATAACTTTCGGGCAGCTCTTTGCAGTTCTCCTAGCAGGGGGAGAGGAGAGCCGTCAGGGGCCTATCGATGGAAGGCCTTTAGTGGACCACCCTTTCGATGGATCCTAGCAAGTATTTAGCTCGGTTATTTTACCCGTCTCGCTCTCATTCTCAAGTCTCTCCACCCGTTTTAGCTTGTTCGCTCCGCTGGTCTCCTGGTCTCTTAGCTCCTTCGATCAGGAAGGAACAGGCGGTTACTATCTTTCACACGAGATGGCACTTGCGAAACAGATTTCTACCGCTACCTTTCTGACTCTCCTTCTTCTCCTCTTAGACCGAGTCTCAGTGGATTCGCGTTTCGTCGGCGTTTCCTGGAGCCATGCCTCGCGTGACGTCAGCAACGAGGAGTGGCTTAGGCTCTCCTCGCGAAACCTGCAGGAAGCATCCATCTCTACCGGACACTCGCCAGCTGCTGCTTTTTCTACTACTGGATCTAGTAGTAGCGGATCTGACTCTACTATTACAGTGACATCTGACGTGTCTGACTCGTCCGACGTGTCAGTTTCGTGTTCAAACGCGACATCATCTCCATCGCCGTCGCCGTCGCCGTCACCTTCGTCAGCACCGTCGCCAGCATCGTCGCCGACGCCATCGCCGTCACCAGCACCCTCCCCGTCGCCGGCTTCTGCGCCAGCGTCTGTTTCGTCGAGCGCCGCTGTCGCGCCTGCTCCTGCGAGCGCCAGCTGTCCCGTGTGCCTCACCGTGACTGGCGGAGGAGCGTACTCGCGGCCCTGCTGCCTTCCGCAAGCCACGTGCTGCGGCGACGGCGCTAATGCGCTGTGCTGGGGCGTGTGCGGTAACACCACCTGCTGTGGCGTGGTAAGGAAGGAGTGCTCAAAAGCCTCTAGGCTAATTTTCGTTTCTGCTTTTTCTCTCACGCACGTGTGACCTCGCTTTCTTCACGTGATCAAGCTTTTTATGTATCCCACAGTCTAAGCTTCACGTTTCTCCTCTTCTTTGTGTGCAGAGCCCAAGCACAGTGGATCACACATGCTGTGGAGGAGTGTGCTGTCCCATTGCTAACTGCTGCAGCTCGTCGGCTACCCCTGTGTGCTGCTCTCAGGGGAACACGTGCTGTGTATAGGTTTTTGTTAGCCTGACTGCATCATTGTTGCTTTACCCTTTTTGTTGCTCTAGATGCAACAGAGGCGATGCCATCCAGAAGTGTACATAGAGCCTGTTCACTATGATCTTTGTATTTGTGGTGGCTCTTCACACGTTCCCTTGCATTGCATGATTCCCTAATACTGGAGTAACAGCTCACCAGGCATGTTATCTACTGGTTCAGAAACAAAAATTCCAGCATAGGGTATCACTGGATCATCTGGCCTGAGGAGCTACTAGAGAAGCACTGTGGAGTGGATTGAGGCTGTGTCAACAAACATATAGTTATATCTAGTTAGGTTAGGTATGTTTGTATAATATGGCTAGGTCAGCTAATAGGGAGGATAACATCTTGTACTTGTATCCCCCCTCCCCTCCTTCCTAGTCAACTTCTCTCGTATTTCTGACACGGCATCTAGAGCTAGGTTGAGGATCCTCCTCACGCTTCCGCCCTAGCACACGCCCTCGCCCTAGCCTAGCGCGCTTCGACCCTAGCCTCGCGCCCCGTTGTTAGCTGCCTCCCCTCCTTCCCCTGCTCGCCGAGTAGCCCGCGCCAGCCAGCGCCAGCCGACGCCAGCCCGCTCCAGCCAGCACCGTCGTTAGTCGCCTCCCCCCCCTCGTTAGTCCATAGCCGGCCCCTCCCTCTCGCTGACCAACGACCAGACCACCATCTCGGGGATGGCTCATCCGTCCTGACAGCAAGTAATAATGGACTGGCGGTGGCTGACAACCACATGGATGGTTCCAGGTCACTGCCCAGAGAGCAAGTGGCTTTTGGATGGATGGTGACAAAGCTTACAGTTAGTCACTTCACCAAAAACTACCAGAACTTCGCAAATACACATCATGTTGAAGATCCTATTACACTAGCCTACTGCATTGGCACGGAGAATTGTGCCATGCCAAGGTCTACATGCATTTCCAGAGTCAGCAATAAATGTCCGTTACGGTAGGTTGGTACCATGCTAAGACTGCCGAACCCCAAGGCACAAAGATCGTGCCAATGCCTATAGTCCATCTGCTCAGCAGGTGGCACAACAATCTCCAACATAGGAAGCAGTAGGTGAAGCGCCGAGCTCGAAATCCCTAGACTTTCGTCATGTGCACTAAAAGAGCATATCCTCTTGCTGGCTCCTCCTTGCCCGCACTGCCACTATGCCTGGACACGGGGATACAGGCTGCGTCACAGGCTTCCCAGATCTGCAAGGAAAACGGGGGACAAGGAGATCAATCACATGGCCAGACACGAGTGACGAGAGCATGCTGTTATGCTCTGGAAAGTGAAAGTGGGCTGTTTGACATATCACACCAATCTCACCGTTTTGGAACAAAGGGTTCGCCATAAGAGGGCTTGGGAACTGCATGGTGAACCAACCCTTTCCTCATCCTCTTGATCTCCGCCTCCTCCTCCTTCTGCAAAACCCCAGACATGCAACACATCTTAGCAACAAGAACGATCTCACAGCAAGTTGTAGGCACACTGTGACAACAAAAATGGGAGAGAGACCCACCCTGGCTTGTGCCTGCATCTCTGCATACTCCTCTTCAGCCTTCTGACGAGCTTCAGCAGCCTGCAACCACACAGCGCATGTATCATCTGTGTCACCATCTCATCTGCAACAGTGACTGAGAGCCTGGAGAATCTTTACTTAATTGGCATGCTGCAGTGGCGTTTACGCACAGTCCTCCCACGCACCGCTTTCTTCACGCCGGCATGGTGTGCTGCCTGACGGTCCACGTTCAGGTTGAAAGGCTTCACCTCTGTGAGCACACGAATGCGCCTGGGGGACTCCGGCCTGGGAGGGGTCAATCCATACCCAAAAACGAGGGAAAATTGTCAGGAAGGCAATCAGAATGGCAGCCTGGCGATCCACGTTCAGGCTGAATGGCTTCACCTCTGTCAGCACGCGAAAGCACCTGGGTGACTCCGGCCTGGGAGGGAGGAGCCAATCCATAACCGTGACGAAACAGAACCAGCAAGAGTGACGAGCAGGAGATTGGAATGAAAACGAGGTGAGGTTTGCAAAAGACTAGAACCAATCCAGAAAATAGGCAAGCAGTAGTCACAGCAGGAGCTCACTTCTTCGTCATATCCGGCAGTGGCTGTGCGTGGAAACCCCTCTGAGCAGCTTCTTCCTCCGCCTTCCTCTGAAGCTCCTCCTCCAAGCGCTGCTGTGCCATCTGGTGCCTCTTCAGCGACTCAAGGTCGAACTCCTGAGGCTCTGTGGCTGGCTTGGTTGGCGGCTTGCGGAGGAACTGTGGGGCGAGCGTGGTGAATGGCATAGGTGCTGCCATGGGTATGGCTGCCTTCCGCCTCTCTTCCTCCGCTTCTGTCAGCTGCTGCTGTAGCTTGTGCTGCTTCGCTTGGCCGCGCTCCTGTGGGATTCGTGCAATGGGGTGACGTTTCCAGCATGTCAGTTGACCGTTGGTGGCACAAGACAGCATGGATGCAGAAGAGGGAAGGATGTGTGGAAGTATGCATGGAAGCATGCACGGATGTGTGAACTGACCTCAGTTAAAAGGTGGAATTCTCGCGGGTGCGTGGCGGTTGGAACCTGCACAGCAAAGGAGAAATTTTGATGTCGGATGGTTATGATTGCATGCTTTGATGTGCCTCGAAAGAAGCATTTAGGGTACTGGGTGGAGGGAGAGAAGAACTACAAGGTACACGGGGAGGCTGGAATAGTGGTTGTGTGAGCGAGGCAAGAGTGCCTTAGAGACAGTACCTCGGAGCTGGCCTGCTTGATGGTATGCACACGCTTAGCCGCATTCGCTATCTCCTCCAACTCCCTCTCCTCGCTGCTCTTCGCCCTGAGACGCACAAATCCAGAAACAAACCATCAGAACCAGAAAGGCGCATGACGAAGCTGTCCCAGATATGTGCACCACTCACTTGGCTCCGCGTGCACGCAGCTTGGTCGTCAGCACGGGCGAGCAAGGCACTGTAGGAGGCTTCGGACCAGACACGGCAGCACCACCAGCACCAATGGCAGCACCAGCAGCTGCTGAGGCCTCCCGCTTTCCAGCAGCCCGGGTGGTCACCTTGGTGGCAGCTGCCTCCCCTTCCTGCAGCACCCTGAACCTCCTCGGCCCCTCCCTCTGAGCCGTCAGCAGCTTCGGCTCCACAGGCTTAGTCAATCTGGGGGGACCAGATGCAGCAGAGGAGGACCCAATAGGAGCCTCGTCGTCTGGCCGCATGTGTGCTGAAAAGGAGCTGAGCTCCTGAGCGAGAGACACGAACGGCTTGGCTTCCTTCTTCAGCTGCTCATCCTTTGGTCGCAGGCGCCTGTCAGTCTTCAGATCAAAAGGTGCAGGTACGGTCAGACCCAGTTCGTGGGAAGGCCCGCCCTCGTGTGCGTTTGCCCCAGTCTCTGATAATCGACTGCTCCTGGCGCCAAACATGCTGACGCTCTGAGCGAGAGACACGAACGGCTTGGCTTCCTTCTTCAGCTGCTCGTCCTTTGGCCGCTGGCGCCTGTCAGTCATCAGGTCGAAGGGGGCAGGCACGGTCAGGCTCAGCTCGTGGGAAGGTCCACCCACTTGCGAGGTTGACTCTGTCTCTGATGACCGGGCGCTCCTGGTGCCAAACATGCTGACGCTCTGAGCGAGGGACACGAACGGCTTCACCTGCAGACACAACGCGACGTTCATGAGACTAGAGCGAGGGATGGCAGGGAAAAATGAGAAAAACTAACTTGACTGCCCACTCCTAGGCGCCTGCATCCCTCTAGCCCCGCCCCTATCACTTCGTCCTACAGGCCTATCTCGCATCTTCTCACCTCCTTCATCCTCTCGTCTTGAGACCCGCGCCTCTTCTCCGTGTTGAGAACAAAGGGCTGGGGGATGGTGAGATGGGGCTCTGCTGCTGCAGGAGCTGCTGCCACCCCTGGGCGAGTCCCCTGAGGAGCAGCAGCCTGTCAGGAATACAGCAGGCAGTGGGGCAGGGAGAACGAATTGTGGAGGAGGTGAGAAGGCGGATGGTCATGACAGCTGGAGGTAGAGCTGACTGTGAAAGAAGAAAAGCTGCGAAATTCACGAGCCTGGTTTGATCGAGTCGGGTAGCGTTGCTCACCTCAACATCTGACGATCGGCTCGAGCGTGCAAAGGCTTGCACGCTCTGGGCGAGGGAGACGAATTGCTGAGCCTGTGTACAAGACCGTGGGAGGTGAAATGTGGACGGTAAGTTAGTAGACGCAAACGGGTGGTTGGTGGCGAAATCATATTGGGTTGAAAGGACAAGCAAACTTTTCTGAACGCACCTCGTTCTTCAGCTTCTCCTCCCCTGGGCGAACTCTGACGTCCGTTCGCAGGTTAAACGGCTGGGGAACGGTAAGCCCTGTAGGGCGACTGGTGGAAGGTGCCTGCAAGTTACACGACCAGAGTTGTTAAGGTTAACATGACAGAACAAGTCGGAACGGAAGGGGTAGAACACCAGCAGCAGCAGTACGCGGTAGAAAGTGAAAGCGGACAGCAGCTACCTTCCAGCGTGGGGACTTGTCCACCTTCTGCCTCTTCGCTCTCGAGCCCCTGGTTGCAGCAGCCCTAGCAGCAGAGGCGGCAGTCGCTGCCATGACAGACTGGCGAGTAACCCTGCAAAGGGCATCGCTGGAAGTCATTATTCCTGGCCTTGAAAGCTTAGAAAAACATTTGTCAAGTGAGTGAATGTAATCAGTGGCGCAATCACAGGGGAAAGACCAGATAGCCGGAGAAGCTAGACAGTCTGGTGGCTTACGAACTGCAAATCTCCATTGCTCCTGACGTACCTTGCTAGAGGAGCTCCCCCTCTGGCTTTGAGCCTGGCAGAGGCCCGTCGGAGCGAAGTAGAGCAGCCTGCTGAGCGGGTGGATGGAGGGGGACGACGGCCAGCTCCTGCACGAGTAGTAGCAGCGGCAGAAGCAGAAGCATGGCGTATGGTAGCAGCAACAGTAGCACCAGTAGCACCAGTAGCACCAGTTGCGCCAGTCGCAGTGCCAAAAGAGGATTCAGCTGCTCGGGAAGCGTCAGAAGACGAGGTGAGAGCTGCGGAAGCTGCAGCAGTGGCCTCAGCAGCACCCGCGATGAAAGCAGCAACGGACACGGAGGCAGCCTGAGAACCAGCAGGTGTGGCAGTACGTGTACCAGTCGCATCAGGCGCACCAGCAGCTGGGATAGAAGCATCAGGTGCACTGCTAGCATCATCAGATGCACTATCAGGAGCATCAGCTGCAGCTTCAGGCGAATCAGCATCACGAATCACACTACCATCAGCTCCACCAGGCACGCCACTCTCACCACCAACAGCATCAGCCTTCTGTGCGCTTCGAGTCTTGGATTTCGAGCGGGTGGAGCGGGGCGTGCTAATCCGCATGTTCCTGAGCTGATCCCAGAGTTTCTTCTTGGGAAACCCGCTGCTCGCCGGAGACGGCTCCTCGACTGGGAAAACAGCGTTAACCATTTCGTCCGTTTCCTCATCCTCGCGGGGCCTCTTACCCGCGGAGCCACTGAGCGGAGGCAGAGGGTTGCTGTTTCCCGCGTGTGAGGCTGAAGCCATCGCTCTGGTCTGCATGCTGTGAACCCTCGCGCCCGAAGATGCAGCCTTGCCGCCTGTGAATGGCGAGAATCACGAAGTTAGTGACGACGAAAAGGCGATGAAATCATAGAAGGCAAATTTAGTAAAACTCCAGTAACTTCCAGTGAGATTTACCATCAGAAGAACCAGCCGGACCCTGCTCGTCATGTTCCGTTACAAGCTGATCCGCCACTTCCGCACCCAGTCCTGTTGCTGGAGCATCTGATCCAGCCTCTGCTGCTGCATCATTCACTCCAGCTGCTTGAAGCTCGACCACCTCAACGTTCAACGGCACCTCACCGGCGATTTCTTCCTGTTGCTGTGCGTCTCCTTCATCCTTCAGGTCCACGTCAGTCCACTGCTTCTCGTCCTCATCATCCTTCACTGCTACGCCATTTTCGCCGTCATTCCCGTTCTCGAGCTCAGCATTCACGGAAGCGATGTCATCGCACCTGACTCTGCGGATGCGGAGACATCGGGAAACGAAAAGAACGATTAGAATCCGTAAACAGAGAAGTAACAAACAGAGAAGTAACATCCAACATTTCTACTACTACCTTCGTGGCCCTTCAGATTTCGGCGTAATTCGGGTACGGACGGGAGTCGGTTCAGGAATCTGCGAATTCATGAAACAATGTTCGTCAGGCGTAAAACTTCAGGCGGGAAAAGTTGAAATTTGAGGCCGGGAAACTAACCTTAATAGCGCTGAGGAGCGGTATCGCTTCCTTCGGCATCATCCGCTGACCAGAAGCCATGGCCTTCACGACCAAAGCTGCACATAGAAACGTATGCGATTGACTTGACCGAACTTGATCAAGCAAAAAAACCAACATAATGGAATGACTCTGCTTTTAATGGACCTCCAGATATGTCACTCACGGGACTTCGGATGTCCCGGCGTTGACCTGAACCATTCATCTGCTGAAGCATCCTCCATATCACCATTGATGAAATCGAAATACTTCGGAGCCTGCACAAATTCGTATGTTGGATCAATATATTGCTTCGGCTTGTCTTCTACATCCATCGCAGTACCCCCCTCCGTGACGGCTGGCTTGACTGCTTCTCCTTCGTCCATGGATGCAGTCCGTTCCGGAAGCCGATGCTTCAGTACTGAAGCTATAGATAGGAGCAGCCTTAAGACCAACGCGTGCAGGACGCCAACAGCTAGAATCCAAAACGCGATAGCCAGTTCTAAACGAAGCTTTGTCACAAAAACTAGAGGCGTCGAGTATGGCGGTGTTGCTAAAGGGCTACTGAATTCCACTACTTCGAAAATACGTTCGACGTCTACAATGGATGGGTTGGTTCTGCTTTACCAAACGATTGCAACTTAATCACAAACTTGAGCTGACGTGATGGTACGCAACGTGATGGTTGAGTTGGTACGATGGTAACAAAAGAAACGAGGCCCAATAAATAAGAGCTAGAAACAATGGTAACTACAGCGGAGGGATCCAGGCAGCAGCAAGGCGAGTTTCAGGGAACTAAATCTCGAGTTACCGAACAGACGTCATGAATTCCAGAGACCACCAGAATGGGAGTCATGGAGAAAAGGTTCAGCCAGAAGATGGTGGAATCTGGAAGGGAAGACAGGAGGGAAGTCCAGGTGGAAGGGAAGGGCAGCCAGGAGAAAGGTGCCTGGATGAGTGGATAGTGTGAGGGGTGGTGAGAGTGGAGGGAAAAGTGTGGGACGCGATGAGTTCGAGTTGGGTTCGGCTGGGTAGGACTGGATAGGTTTCGGTTGGGCTCCGTGCATTGCGTTTGCTGGATGACAAGATTTGAACTGAACCATCATCCTCTGGCATAGCGCCTCGCTTGAAAGGTACTTCTGCCATCATGTGCTGCGTCAGAAACGCGTTTCCCGCCGTGTCCTCCGAATTTGAAATTCTGACGCGGGGCCATCTCGAAGTTGACCACAGCCAAAATGATTAGCACCACTGTACCATATAACACCAAAACCCTTGCTAAAATGGATGATAGTAGATCTCTTTCCACCTCGCAACTAGTAGGTATCTTATAACGCTTTCCATCATGACCTTACTATTGCGTTAATTTTTTCATCACCTAACCCTCATCGCCAACAACATCACAGATTGTACACGATACATAGCAACTTTTCACTCTAGAGGCTGCCTTATCTACACATGTAGAACTAAGGAGGGTGCAAGACCCATCCGCGCTTGGCTACTTCCGCGCGGACACGCGTTGCTACATCCACATTGTCTGTCAATGGGGGGTAGCTCCATGTGCTTGCAAGCTGATTCAAAGGCGGAACAAGATGAGGGGATGGGATGGGAGGTAGTAAGGAGGATACAGATGGGTCGTGACAACTGACATTGGCAGAGTGAGAAGAAGCATTGGCAGCGTGTGAACTGACACTGACAGAATATTCTCTGGCAACGACACATCAGAGCATAACTGACATGGAAAAAGTACATAAACTGACATTGACATTGTCGTTAAACGGCCGAATGGCTCCACGGTGCTGGAGGGTTCGGTGGAACTCAGCTATTTTCCACTTGCAGTGCTCGCCGCCTACCACATACACTGGCTTGCTGGGGAAAGACAAGGTTGGGGAAATGAACACATGGCGGGAGCAATGAGAATGTAGTGAGAGAGTAGGCACTGACACTCAGCGATTTTCCACTTGCAGTGCTACCCACCCACCACATACACTGGCTTGCTGGAATAACACAGTTGCAGGGAGGAAGGGCATATGGAAAATGGATGAGCAAGACACGGGAAACCATGGGATCCACGAGCAAGTCATGTGTAGTGCAAATGGGATGCAAAGTTCACACTGTTACGCAGTTGTGTAATGCAACTTATGCAACACGGCACGGCACATACCCTGTGGAGCACGCTTCGCTGATCATGCTGACAGAATCAGCCGTGATTATAAACGCGTCAGCCCAAGCGAGGTTGCCCAAGTGTGGGTCCAGACCTGCAAGGTACGAAAGCGAAGCAGACGAAGGGTTAAAAATTGTACACTAACTTCCTGGAATCATAACCTCGCAAAAAGGAGCGCAAGTTTCCTACACCACATCTGACGGTTTATGTGAATGCAATAATAATATATTTCTAAAGCCACTGAATAATGCTCTCATAAACGCGCACTCACCTTGTCCATCCCATATGTAGACAGCATCCTGGTCCTTGAGCTCATGGCGGAGCACTCTCTGCATCTGAGGGGCGCAGGGGGGGAGAAAGAGGGAGGGAGGTGAGGAAGACAGAGGGAGAGAAAGAGGGACTAAGGTTAGGAAGAAAGAGAGAGCATTCTTATCCCATCCCATATGTAGACAGTATCCTGGTCCTTGAGCTCATGCCGCAGCACCTGCTGCATATGAGGGGCGCAGAGGGAGTGCGAGAAGAGAGTTGCAACAGGGAGAAAGTCTCTTCTGGTATGCACAAAGCTCTTCTGGTTCAATGCAAGACTTCCAGGGCTAGGGCTTCTCTAGGTTTGGAGACGTCTCAAAACATTATCCAAGACTTCCAGGGCTAGGAAGGGCTTCTCTAGGTGCATACCGCCACAGGCGTTCTTCTGGAAAACGAGACACTGAGTGACCCCTGGCAGTCCCGCAGCATTTCTTTGAGTGTCAACGCCAGCTGTCCAATCAAATCCGGGCGGTAGCTGCAGTGACCTGCATTTGGGGGGACGGGGGGGGGGAGGGAGTGATGGAAGAGGGGATAGGGGAGGCGCTGAGAGATCCCTGGCAGTCCCGCAGCATCTCCTTGAGCGTCGCTGCCAGCTGTCCGATAAAATCCGGGTGGTAGCTGCAGTGACCTGTGCTTGGGGAGGAGGAAAGGGGGGGGGGGGTTGGGGGGGCAGCGAAGGTGGGGAACGGGAAGCAGGTTGGGCCAAGTGAGTTAAAGGAGAAAATTATAGCAGGAAATATATTGTGTTGATGATGATGGAAAGATAGGGGCATGGAAAGGCAGGGTGAGTACAGCGTAAGACTCACATGTGGGCCCACATGTTGACTCACGTGTTGACTCACGTGTGGGCCCACATGTTGACTCACGTGTTGACCAATCAGAATGTGAGGTGGAACTAACAACCAATAGGGAGAGACTCACGTGTGGGCCCGCCGATGTTGACCACGACAAGTGGCTTGGGGAATTCGCTGAGGGAGTGCCACGTGGCAGCAGCTGAGCGGAGGAGCGTGGGCTCCGCTATGTGCAGCGCGCCAGTTGTCAATACCTGATTGGCCAGAAGCGAGGGAGGAGGAGGTGGAGGGGGGGGGGGGGGGGGGGGGGGGAGAGGAGAAGCAAAATGTGAGGGGTTATAAAACGAATGGCATGGCAGGGATGTGCATGGTCATAAATTTTCTGTGTGGGGTGGGGCAATCCATCGGAGTATCCATGGCCGCCCCTTCCTGCTACCTGCAGCAGCAGTGAGCCTGTAGCTGTTTATTGAGTCAATTGACAGTCCGGAACTCTTACCACTCTGTTGCTGGGTGCAATCCACACCACACGGGTGCAATCGACTACAGTATCCACGGGTGCTATTTGGTGGGGGGAGACGGACGAGGATGCTTACTTACACCATACGTGTGGTGGGGGGTACGGGAATGCTTACCACATTCTTGGTGGGTGGGGCAGGGGCGATCCATTTCAGTATCCAGGGGTGCACCTCCCTGCCCGCGGCTGCTGTGAGCCCGTTGAAATCATGCCAGGTCGTACTGGTGGAGGCCACATCTGGGGCAGGTGGTACTTACCACATTCTTGGTGGGTAGGGCAGGGGCGATCCATTTCAGTATCCAATCCAGGGGTGCACCTCCCTGCCATCTGCTGCTGTGAGCCCGTGGAAGTCATGCCAGGTCGTACTGGCAGAGGCCATACCTGGGACAGGTGGCACTTACCACATTCTTGGTGGGTGGGGCAGGGGCGATCCATTTCAGTATCCAGGGGTGCACCTCCCTGCCAGCTGCTGCTGTAAGCCCGTAGAAGTCGTGCAGAGGCGCCACCACCAGGTCGTACTGGTGGAGGTCGTTTCTGGGATGCTGGATCTGCACCACCAGGGTGGAGTGGGGGGCTAGTCGCTTCACTTCCGCAGCTGCTGCTGCCGTGTCCCTGCCCGCTGCTACTACGAGTAGTGGGCCTTCGCTGAAAGACGAGGGAGAAAGGGAAAAGGGGGGGAGGTCGTTTCTGGGATGCTGATTCTGCACCACCAGGGTGGATTTTGGGCTAGTCGCTTCACCTCTGCTGCTGCTGCTGCCGTGTCCCTGCCTGCTGCCACCACCAGCAGTGGGCCTTCACTGAGGGAAGGAGGGGAGAGGGCAAGCGGGACAAGGGGAACGGGAAAGGGGAACAAGATTAGGTGGGTTGATAGCTGCTGCTGCTGCCGTGTCCCTCCTCGCATCCACCACCAGCATCCCAGTGCCGCTGTGGCCGGACTCACCACTTCATCATCACCGCATTCCACTGCATTCCACCTATTTTTGGATTACACATCCCGTCCCACTGCACTCCTCACCTTTCAAGAGTCTCGTTCGCTTCTGCTGCAATGGCAGCAGGGTCCGCTGGGGCGGCTGCTGGCAGAAACGCTGACGTGGAGGGTTCTGATAGGATGCGGGGCCGATGGACCGAGGAAGAGGAACTTCGAGGAAGGAGCACGGGTTTGGGTGTGTTTTGAGTCACTCCATTAGGAGGAAAATTGGGGTCAGAGGTATGATATGATGCAGAAAGCGTGCCATTGGCGAGGGTGCTATTGGCGGTGGTGCCGTTCCGAGCGTTAGTAGAGCTACCAATAATATCTGAGGGCTTGCCTGCCGAACCTAGGATGCCGTTGACGAACATAGGAGACTGGTGGTTTGAGTTACTAGCAGCAGCTGCTCCCGCTCCTGGCTCAGACCATACATCTGCATATGCTGCAGCTGCTCCTGCTGCAGCTGTTCGTGCTGCTGCTGCTGTTGCTGCCGCTGTTGCTGTTCTGGCTGCTCCTGCTGCTGCTGGTGCTGCTGCTGCTGGTGCTGCTGTTGATGTTGATGTTGATGTTGATGTTGCTGCTGCTCCTGACGCTGTTGATGCAGGGGCTGGCAGGGACAGTCTAGGGGGTGGGAGGAGAGCTAATCGGAGCACTACGGCGGAGATGGTTTGAAAGAAGTTCGCTAGTCTTACGGAGAGGTACGCGTCTAGCTTTTGGTGCGCCTCTATTGGTAACCACCGTAACCATCGGTGAAGGCCGGCTTTTGGACGAACCACTCTCTGTTAGGTTGAGAACAGCATGGACGGGGAGGAGAGGAGAGTGGGTTTAGATCGAGGCAGGGAAGCCACGAGAATGCGAACAGAATGTTATCGAGCGGCGAGATCACACCACAAAAACGTACACGGGCGTGGGACGTCAGGAGTACTCGCAAGCACTTAAAGCCCGCAGCCCAAATCGTTCACATGCAGTGTGTTTGTTCTCCTGGGTAAACACAAAAAATTGTGCTACGAAAAGAAAATCTCACGATTTTCGGGGATTTCCATAGATTTCTTCCCTATCTGAATCTCCACAGATCCCCCCAGGCCCAAAGCTCGCACACAGGCTCTGGTGCTCGCTGCCAGGGGATCTCAGTGCGACGAATCACAGCAGCTTGCTACCTCAAGGTGCCAACGGAGCAGTGCGTTTCAGAGTACAGCTCAAGCCCGTAACAATCATTCATAATAACATCAAGGAATGTTATTCAATAACTGAATTCACCTGTTTGATTTCCGACAAATCGCACAAAAATCCCCACATTAATCTCCAGACGTCTCCTACCTGAACCTCCATTGACCCCCCCAGGCCCAGAGCTCGCACGAGTCCCAGGCTCTGGTGCTCGCTGCCAGGGTGGCCATTCCCTAGAATCACAGCGCGACGAATCACGGCCGCCGTGCCGCCTTGCTCGAAGATCTCCGGTGCTCCGGCCGATCCTATGACTGGCGGAGGCTCCGGCAGCAATATTCGTCTGTACGACATGCTACTTCCTTTATTTTACGATAATTTAAGCGATATGCCGTACGATATATTGGAGCGACGCTCTGTCAGGGAGTAATGGACTGATGGAAAGGCAGCAGCAGCTACGAAGTGAAGCAATGAATAAGTAAAAGGAGGATGAAAGATATTGTTATGTGCACGTGTGTGTTATTGTAATCTCCGAGACAGCAACCTGGAACGTTTCTGGCCACGTCCCTGGAATTTGGTCGTGAGAACTGAGTAGCGATATGAAGACTGGAAGCAGGAATAGAGTGGCAGAATCAAGGATTGACTGGACGAAACAAGCAATATGGAATCTAGGAATGGAGTGAGAACAGTAGCAATTGGAACAACAGCTATCAACGGCCACGATTTTCTGGAAGAGGTAAGAGACCCACCCTGAGCCGCTCAGATGGGCAGAACGGCAACATCGAGGGTCACGAAAGTAGACGGTGATGCGACGTGAAGGGAAGGGAGATGACGGAAGTGGCACTGTTCTGTCCAGCGCAGCGGATTCCGTCAGCGAAAATGGTCAGAAATCCTGCTTGGTCAACCTGGGCCAAGCGAGATGCGAGTTGACCAGGCGAAGCGCCAGGTTGTGGTTGGTGGGGCTTAAGAGGTCACGTTGGACGGAGCTCGGCGACCCCAGGAATCCCGGAAGTGGTGGCACGAATCACGAGGGAATGTTACGAATGACGTGTGCGAAACAGCGCAACAGCATGAGCGAAACGCAGTCGTAGGCGTTATAGCACATGGCCCCAGCAGCTGGTGGAGGGTGCAGTGCCCCAGCAGCCCTCGCGAATTTCTGTGGTTACATGTCGCAGCTGCAAAGTAACGCTTCAGGTTTACTCTGCCAATTACGGGAGTGTGCATATCGATGTCTTTGGCAACACGAACTTCGTAAACCTCCACGTCAGTGTTCGCCTCTGTAACGCGAACGGAAAGCTAATCTCTAGTAACTGTTCGATTTACATGCAAGATGTTAGATCGACGGTGCATGACTACTTATTTGTTATGGTGCATGTTCTAGTGTCTAATTTTCCCCCCGCACCTTGCGGCGCGCCGCTTGGGGATGTTCAATCCATTCAAACCCAAACGCGTTCAGGACTTCAACGGGGCGCGATGTGCTCGAGCATCCTTCGTCGCAGCTGTTTTGGAGCGTTGGATCGATCACACGGATAGCGTTGAGGCGTTGGATGACGGCGAAAAATCTTCGTTCACGTCCAAGAGCTTAATCGCAAGTCAAACGACCTTCGTTACCCAGCAAAACCTGTTAGCTTCCATTCCAACCACCCAAAATCAGCAGCCCATACTCACAGAATTACCTGCCGCAATGGCCGCTAGCCCAAAGTCTCCCCTCCAGTCCATCCTCCCCGCATTCCACGGTCATAGCACTGCACATTCCGTTCGCATGGCTGGACGCGTTCTTACAAGGCTGACAAACCGGCTCCAGAAGATTTCCGCTGAGGCTGGATCAAGAAGCAGTCACGAATGCTGGTCTACTAAACTAATACTGCTATTAGTACCACATGAGATCCATATCGTGATATTGAGTTTTGAGGCGAGTTTGTTTCTTACCCCGCACGGCCGCCTGCTATTTTGACTTCCCGTTCGTATCGAGCCAGTCGCGTCAACCTTAGTTTTGACCCGCTCTCTGGTACCGTGGCGAATCCCCTCGCGCTAATTACCGCAATTCCGGCATTTTTGCAACTTCAGAATTCTCATCGTGGTCGCGGACTGCCAGTGACCCCGTGATTATCAGCCTGTCAGTTACCGCCATGGCCACTACTATCGATCGGCGCGTCGTCGAGCTGCTGGCTGCATTCCACGCCACCATTCTCCTCCTGCTCGCGCTGGCCCTACCCGCTGCTGCCGCTGCAGGTACGCGAATGCTGGTTTGAAAAAATCTTAGGAATTCTTAAAGAACTATCACACCAGCATTCCACTGTATAGAAGTCGCGTTTTGAGGCTTCTGTACCAAGAAATCCACGCCGCGATTCTCCTCCTGCTCGCGCTCTCCCTAGCCGCTGCTGCCGCTCCAGATACAGAGGTGACTTTTGAGTCGACTCAAAAGTCACCTCCCTACCCGCTGCTGCCACTCCAGATACTGGAAAAGGTTCAAATCGAAGTGCTCAAACGAAGCAGAAACCAAATGTGCTCAAATGTCTCATTTTGTAGTTTGAGTCAGCTCAGATGTGCTCGTTGCTCTTGTCTTATCCATTACTAAGCAACCTCCACTGCCTTGTCGGACAATCCAACGTGCAGACGAAACTGGCGACTCGCTTTAGCTTTGAGGCGCCTCACAAGTTTCTCTTGCCATATCCATTACTAAGCAACCTCCACTGTCTTGACATACAATCCAAATGTGCAGACGAAACCGGCGACTCGCTTTACATCGTTCACCTCCGATCCGCGCCGCCCCTCACCGGCTACCACGGCGGGATTCCCGGCTTCCCCGCCACTGCCAGCAACCCCCTGTCGCGCCTGGGAACCGCACTGAACCGCGCGGGGCGGCGCATTCGACGGCGGCTTCCGCGGTTGGATCTGAAGCTTCCGCACGTGAAGGCTTTCGTGAATATGCTGGACCGCCTGCAGGCGAAAGTGGCGAAGGATGTGGGCCTCGCGAACGATAAACTGTTACACAGTTACAAGGTCGTCAGTAACGGGTTCTCCGCCACTCTCTCTCCCAAGCAAGTCGCGGACCTGCTGCGTCACCCTGACGTGGCGAGCGTCACTGCCAGCGTCAGACAGTCCCCGCTGACGTCACACAGCCCGGAATTTTTGGGCCTGCCCGGAAGCCTGTGGAAGGAAAACGGCGGGCAGGGGAACGCAGGGGAAGGAGTGATTGTAGGCATCGTTGACACGGGTATCTGGCCGGAATACCCTTCGTTTTCTGACAATGTAAGAGTGTGTGTGAGGGGGAAGCGGGAGCGACAGTTAGTGTGGAATGTAAACCCACTGGCTGTATCCAATCCACTAAAGCCCACGTGCCAAATGTCCCGAAATTGCCCCGAGCTTCCTACCTTTGGTTGAGAGTTCCCTCGGAGAACTACTTGACAACCAATCTGCTCGTCCTATCCAACCAACCTTCCTACCATTGACCTACCCAGAGCCTGAAGGGCGTGAGTTCCGCTACTGCTGAAGCTCATCGGCGCAAGTCTCTGCAGCAAGAAGCTCATCGGCGCAAGTCTCTGCAGCAAGAAGCTCATTGGCGCAAGTCTCTGCAGCAAGAAGCTCATCGGCGCAAGTCTCTGCAGCAAGAAGCTCATCGGCGCAAGTCTCTGCAGCAAGAAGCTCATCGGCGCAAGTCTCTGCAGCAAGAAGCTCATCGGCGCTTCTACACAGCTAGCACACTAATACCCCTCGTCCCCCATCCCTCCCCTCTCGTGCATGCGCGCAGGTGTCTCCCCCGTATGCGGAGATTCCTGCGCGCTGGAAGGACGTGTGTTCCGACACTGCGGACTTCCCCGCAAGTCTCTGCAACAAGAAGCTCATCGGCGCGCGATACTACACGAAAGCGCTCGTTAAACTCCCCAACCACCTCCGCCCACTCTCCTCCCCCGAATCGCCCTTCGTTGCTTCAGGTGTCTCTCCCCTATGCTGACATCCCTGCCCGCTGGAAGGGTGTATGCTCCGCCACTGCGGACTTCCCCGCAACCGCGTGCAACAAGAAGCTCATCGGCGCGCGGTACTACACGCTGGGGCTCACAGCAGCGAAGCAGGCGGTCGAGACGAGCAAGGGGGACTTCGAGTCGGCAAGGGACTCCATGGGGCACGGCACGCACTGCGCAGGGTGAGTCTCCACACCCAAGGGTCACTAACAACGAAGGGTCAATGTATGCCACTACACCTATGGATCACTAGCAACGGAGAGTCAGAGTATGCCACTACACCTATGGATCACTAGCAACGGAGAGTCAGAGTATGCCACTACACCTATGGATAACTAGCAACGGAGAGTCAGAGTATGCTACTACACCCTGGGGCTCGCAGCAGCAAGGCAGGTGGTTGAGGCGAGCAAGGGGGACTTTGCGTTGGCAAGAGACTCCATGGGGCACGGCACGCACTGCGCAGGGTGAGTCACATAGCGCATGGGTCAAAAGAAAGCGGTATGATGCTACTCTCTGAGGCAAGGTGTTTTTGAGAATTCTCAAAAACACCCTGAAAATCAAGGAAAGCGGCATGCTGCTACTCTCTGGGGCAAGGCAGCTGGATTTCAGCCTCCCTATCAGCTGCTTTCACCTGCTTTCACCTGCTTTCACCTGCTTTCGTCTCCTGCCCGTCCGTGTCCCCACTCTTGGATCCTCCATTTGCAGCATTGCTGTGGGCAACAGCGGTGTGAAGGCAAGGCGACTGGCTTTCAGAGGGTCCGTAAGCTACCAGCCTTCAACAACTGCTTCCCCCTCCCCCCCTTCCCCTCCTTTCCCCCTCTCTCACACTCTCCTTCCCCCTTGCAGCATCGCAGTGGGCAACAGCGGCGTGGAGGCGACAGGATTTAGCTCTCCGATCAGCGGCGTTGCGCCGAGAGCACGACTCGCAGTATACAAGGTATGGTAGCAGTGTATACAACCACCAGACAACCAGTAGGGTATAACTTACCACAGTTTTCATGCGGCATGTGCAATGTGCAAACCTCTCCCCTTACCTGCTCCAGGAGTGCTGTCTGTACATAGGAGGGCATCAGGTGTGAGGATGCGGACATAGAGGCAGCGATGAGCGATATACCTGGTTCCTTCCCATCCCAATCCCTATCCCAATCCCTATCCCAATCTCAATCCCTATCCCAATCCCTATCCCAATCTCAATCCCTATCCCAATCCCTATCCCAATCCCAATCCCTATCCCAATCTCAATCCCTATCCCAATCCCTATCCCAATCCCAATCCCTATCCCAATCTCAATCCCTATCCCAATCCCAATCCCTATCCCAATCTCAATCCCTATCCCAATCTCAATCCCTATCCCAATCTCAATCCCTATCCCAATCTCAATCCCTATCCCAATCTCAATCCCTATCCCAATCTCAATCCCTATCCCAATCCCTTCTCCTGCCTCTGAGAAAGCCGCCCATCCGTTACTGTATCTCCTCTCTTCCCCTCTCAGGTCTGCTCGCTGTACCAAACCGTGAGGACATAGGCATTGGTAAGGAGGACATAGGCTGGGCCGCGTATTGGCTGTGAGGAGGATAGACGCGGTACTGGTCTTCTCCTCCCCTCCCCTCGCCAACTTTATCTCCTCTCCTCCTGCCAGGTGTGCTGGCTGTACAGTGACAGCATAGGCTGTGAGGATGCGGACATAGAAGCAGCGATGAACGACGCCGTGGCGGACGGGGTGGATGTGATCAGCCTGTCGCTGGGATCGCCCGGAGGCAACTACCTCGAGCAGATGATCTACATGCGGGCATACCTGGTACGAGCATGTTGTAGAGTTGCAGATCCTGTCGCTAGTGGCTCCTGGGGGCAACTACCTGGCACAGATGATCTACATGCGGGCATACCTGGTACGGCTAGAGCTGATTAGTGGCCCCCCAGGCGCTACCAGCGCTGATTTGGGGGGTTGGATAAGCCTGTCGCTGGGAGCTCCTGGCGGCAACTACCTGTCTCAGATGATCCACATGCGGGCTTACCTGGTAAGCGCATGTTCCATACCTATCTGAGGGCATATCTGGTAGGTGTGAATGGGGGTTTAACGCGAAGGCAGGAGTCATTAGAGGCTCCTGGAGGCAACTACCTGTCACAGATGATCTACCTGCCTGGGGGCATGCGGGGGCATGCCTAGGGGCATGCCTAGTGGCTCCTGGGGGCATGCCTGGTACGACAAAGGGTTGATTCGGGGGGTTGAATGGGCGCATGGGGTGGTTGGATAAGCCTGTCGCTGGGAGCTCCTGGCGGCAAACTACCTGTCTCAGATGATCCACATGCGGGCATGCCTGGTGAGTCTTGATGAAAATCGTCTGGTATGCCCAGTGACGGGGCCACAGCGCCTGGCGTGGGAGACTTTCGCTGAAGAGTAACCTTGGTGAAATTCTCCAAGGTTGCAGGTGAAATTCATCTTCTGGAATGCCCAGCGACGGGGCCATAGCGCATGGCGTGGTTGGATAAACCTGCCGCTGGGAGCTCCTGCTGGAGCCCCATGCTGCGGCTGGACACAGTGAGCTCGACTGCAGGCTCCAAGGTTGCAGTTGAAGCGTGGGATGAAGGGCGTTGAAGTGTGAGATGAAGGGCGTTGAAGCGTGAGATAGAAGACACATGCTGCGGCAGGCTTATTGGCAGGCTTATCTATCTCTTCCTCTCCCTCTGACATACCCCCCCCCACACACACACATTGTCCCTCTCAGGCGGGCGTAGCCGTGGTGATGGCAGCAGGCAAGGGGAGAGGTTTGCACATGCCGCATGAAAACTCTATGTGATGGCAAGTAGGGAGGCTTCCTCTCCCTCTGACATAACCCCCCCCCCCCCCCCCTCACACACACACATACTCCCTCTCAGGCGGGCGTAGCCGTGGTGATGGCAGCAGGCAACAGCGGCAGGCCCCCCGCACCCGGCTCGTGGCAGCAGCTCAGCAACACCTCGCCCTTTGTGCTCACTGTCGGCGCAAGGTAAGGGATAACCTAGGGAGGGTGCTTTAAGGGTAGGCTGACATGTGAGCAAGCCCCCCGCAGTCGGCTCGTGGCAGCAGCTGAGCAACACCTCGCCCTTCGTGCTCACCGTGCGCGCAAGGTACGCTGTTTTCTGAGTGCAACGTAGGGGCTAGTGTGGGGAGAGAGCTTTCAGGGTAGGGCAGCAGGCAACAGCGGGAGCCCCCCAAAGTGAGCTCATGGCAGCAGCTGAGCAACACATCGCCCTTCGTGCTCACCGTGGGCGCAAGGTACGCTGTTTTCTGAGTGCATCGTAGGGGTTAGCGTGGGGAGGGCGCTCGCAGGGTAGGTCAGCAGGCAACGGCGGCAGGCCCACCGCACCTGGCTCATGGCAGCAGCTGAGAAACACCTCGCCCTTTGTGCTCACTGTCGGCGCAAGGTATGTCGCCCAGAAGGTATGCTAGCTGTCACCCCCTGTGTGCTCTGGTAGTGATGGTGGGGAGGGTGCGCTCACTCACGACAGGCCTCCTGCAGCTGGCTCGTGGCAGCAGCTGAGCGACACATCCCCTTTCGTGTTGACCGTGGATGCAAGGTATGTCGCCCAGAAGGTATGCTAGCTGTCACCCCCTGTGTGCTCTGCTAGGCATGGTGGGGAGGGTGCGCTCACTCACCACAGCCCCCTCAGGAGGGTGCGCACCTGGCTCGTGACTTTTGAGTCGACTCAAAAGTCACCTCGGTTTATCTTCACGTGCTTTCACCCCCTGTGTGCTCTGGTAGGCATGGTAGGGAGGGTGCGCCCTCACTTACGACAGCCCATAGTGGAGTCATTTTTAACTCCCATTTTTGCACTAGTTGTCGCCCCCTGTGTGCTCTGGTAGGTTATGGTGGGGAGGGTGCGCTCACTGGGGACAGGCCTCCCGCACCTGGCACCTGGCAGCTCCATGTGTTCCTCTCTCTCTCCTCTCTCTGCCTCTCACCCTCCCACCCTTCAGTCAGCTCTATCGCTCGGCAGCAGGCGAAGCTGGACTCCCCAGACAACATCGAGGCTCAATGATCAACATTGACATCCAAGCACCGCTCTCCATGCTCCTCTCTCCCAACCATCACCCCCCACCCACCCTCTCTCAGCTCTATCGCTCGGCAGCAGGCGAAGCTGGCATTCCCAGACAGCACTGAGCTGAGAGGCTTCTCACTCACCTTCTTTGACATCCAAGCACCGCTCTTCATGTGCCTCTCTCCCCTTACTCCCTCTCCCCCACCCACCCTCTCTCAGCTCCATCGCTCGGCAGCAGGCGAAGCTGGTATTACCAGACAGCACTGAGCTTCGGGGCTGCTCGCGCAATTTCTTCGACATTCAAGCACCGCTCTTCATGTGCCTCCCTTCCCTTACTCCCTCTCCCACACCCACCACTCAGCTCCATCGCTCGGCAGCAGGCGAAGCTGGTATTCCCAGACAGCACCGAGCTGAGAGGCTTCTCGCTCATCTTCTTCGACATCCAAGCACCGCTCTTCGGTCCCACACTCGCTGCTGCAGCAGACGGCACCACTGCAGGTGGCACAGTAGCAGGTTCGGGCGCAGGCTTGGGAACAGGTTCGGGAACAGGTTCAGGCGCAGGTACGGGAGCAGGTGCGGGAGCAGCAGACGGCAACAATGACAAGCAGTATTGTGCGCGCAACTCCCTGACAGCAGAAGAAGCCGACAACAAGATCGTGATCTGCATGTTGGGTGGCGGAGTAACAGTGGACGAGGTGTTACAGGAGGTCAACCGGAACAGAGGCTTGGGAGTGGTGCTGGTGGGAGGGGACAACCAGGAGGTGAAAGACTCGCTCTACACCCAATCCCTTCCGCTTATGATCATCTCTTCGGATAAGAAAGAGGAGCTGTTTACCTTGGCGGAAACGCACGGAGAGGCACAGCTTCTGTCCAAAGTTGAGCTGAAATCAGACATGGCTGCGCCAACCGTTGCCAAATTCTCCTCCGCCGGACCCACAATCGCCCCCACGGCCACCCCTTCTCGCCCCAACAACAACAACGATGTCTTAAAGCCGGATGTGATCGCTCCTGGAGTAAAAATCCTCTCCCCATGGAGACCTGCTGACGTTCTTTCGGCCCCCAGTGACCTTCTATATCGCGCAGCTAGCGGGACATCTATGGCTACTCCCCACGTGGCGGGGCTTGCTGCTCTGGTGATACAAAAGGTTGGGGAGGGGTGGAGCGCCGGGCAAGTGATGTCAGCGATTGTGACTACAGCAAGCGGGAAGAACAGGCTGGGGAAGCCTATCGGAAGGGAGCTGGAGAGGGAAGCTGCAACCCCGTGGGATATGGGATCCGGTCAGGTGACTCCGGCCCAAATGCTGGACCCTGGGTTGACTTTTGAGATGGATGAGAAGAATTGTTATGGGTTTATTGCAGGGCAAGCAACGGCACCGGGAAATTACGTCCCTAGTGGGTTGTCGGTGAAAGCTATTAAGGGCTACGAGCTGAACAGGCCGAATATTGCAGTTTCGAAGCTGAAGGGGAGTGTGACTATAATGAGACGAGTGAAGAATGTGCATTCGGAGACGTGCAGGTACACCAGCAGTGTGCAGAATATGACAGATGTGAGTGTAACAGTGAAGCCTACGGCCTTCGTTATAGAGCCAGGGAAGGAGTTGGAGTTTTCTGTGCAGCTTACGCCTCTCAGGGGGACTAACAAGTTCTCATATGGCGGGATCACATGGAGAGACGACAAAGGCCATGAGGTCAAGATGGTGCTGGAGGTACAGCCTTCGAATAATCCAAAGAGCAAGCCCAAGCCCAAGAAGAAGAGATGGGCTTAGGAGATGGATCATTAACGGTTTAGCGTACACCATATGCATTTGTTTAGAAAGCTTATTGTAATGTTTTCAATCGTATTAAAATTTCATCTCTTTATCGAAGTTACCATCGACTTCAGGTTGGCGCGAAAAGAACCCCCTGGAAACTTTCGCTTCTGTCACGCGTCGTCGTCAGACATACGCCATCGCCATCATCATCACCATCAATATCATCATCACCATCAATATCGACTCAGCACCGTTCGATCAGCACAGCAACAAACATCGTCCGGTACCCACCTCACCTCCACCGTCCGATCCCATCCAGCATGAACACCACTGCAAAATCCCTGGGTCCCTCCATCCATGAGTCCTTGAACCCAAGTTGTGAATCCCAGAGTCAACCTCCTTTCTGCAACAAGCAGCAGCAGCAGCGGCAGCAGCAGCAGCAGCAGCAGCAGCAGTAGCACCATCTTTCTGCTTCCCGGTCTTTTCATATGATTCTGGAAAAGATGTCCTCTCGCTGACGTCGCCGTCAGCATTCACGGCAATTACGGGAGAGTTGCTGCTGTTCGTTCAAGAAGCGTTGATACTACACTTGGTTTCAGACTAGGGTTCAGCTCGTGCTTTTATTTGCAGGTAATGTTGAAGTGTTTCGCGTTTCTCCGTTCGCCGTCAGTTTATCGTCGATTTGTTGTAGGGTTTTACTTTCTAAAGTGCCTTTTCACGGCAGGCCTCTTATGTGCACATCTGACGTTCCAGTTCGCACTGCTGTTCCGGATTCGTTTAAAATTCTTCGCCTGCAGGAAAACATTTGAGTCGCTCTTCGTTTCCCGCGTTGTACTTACTGACGGCTCTGCATTGTATGGAACGGCTGCCGGATCCATATTCTTACGGTGCAGCAAGATTTATCTCGGTTGAGATGGTTATTGCCAAGGTTAATGCCGAAAGGGCCATGCCGGACGGCGTGGAGGGAGCAGCGAGAACTAGGTCGGTCGAAGTGGTGAAGTCAGCGCAGAGCCTTTCGGAGTTGCCCCTGCCAGGCGAGAAACGTCAAGCGCCGGCCGATGCTGCTATACCGCCATCTGACGATGCACAGGGACCGTCCGATGCTGCTCAGAGCAAGTCTGAGGGGTCTGAGGAGTTTGCGAATGCATTTCGAGCGACATTTCAGGAGATAAGCAACGCGTCTGAAGCGAAGGCGGACTCAGTTCCAGCGGAAGAGCATCTTGATGTGACCGGAGATCACCCTGACAGAACCACGCAGCCGCCTGAACCTGAAGCACCTGAGAAGCCAACTGCGGAGCGTGATGCACCCGAGAAGCCAACTGAGGAGCGTGAAGCACCCGAGAAGTCGACTCAGGAGCCTGAAGCATCTAAGCATACAGAATCTCCTGATATAGCTGACACGCCGATTCAGCGTCCTGACGGATCTGACGAGCATTCTCAGCAGCCTGAAGCATCTGAGAAGCTGACTCAGGAGCGCGAAGCATCGAAGCCTATTCAATCCCCTGATGTAGCTGACACGCCGATTCAGCGTCCTGATGGATCTGATGAGCCTTCTCAGCAGCCTGAGATGGTTGGACTTCACCCTGAAGCCCCAGTCACGGCCACTCAGCAGGGCGATGCAGCGGGTAGGCCCACCGTGGAGCCTAAAGCACGTGAGAAGCGGGCTCAGCAGCCTGATATGGTCGAGGCTGATTCTGAAGCCCCAGTCACGGCCACTCAGGAAGGTGCTGCAGCTAGTAGGTCCACAGTGCAGCCCGATGCTGCTGAGAAGCTGATCCAGCAGCCTGACTTGGTTGGAGACCCTGATGCAGCTATGAAGGAACCTGAAGCACCTGAGAAGCCGGGTCAGGAGACTGAAGCACCTGAGAAGCCGAATCCGGGGCCTGAAGTACCTGAGAAGCCGAATCACGGACCAGAAGCACCTGAGAAGCCGAATCACGGACCAGAAGCACCTGAGAAGCCGAATCACGGACCAGAAGCACCTGAGAAGCCGAATCAGGGGCCTGAAGCATCTGAGAAGCAAGCGCAGCATGTTGATGCAGTCGACAGACCTGATAGAAAGCCTGAGGCGGCGGAACAGGATGCTCCGATTCCCCGAGCAGCTCATGCGCCCACGCAGCAGAATGACAAGCCTACTCAACTCCCTGACGCACCAGACGCACCAGACGCACCAGACGCACCAGACGCTCCGAATGCGCCTATGCAGGAGAGTGACGCGGCGATGCAGCAAACGGATGCGCTTATGCAGCAGCCAACTGAGCAGCAAGATAAGCCCGCTCAGGAGCCTGAACTAGCTGATCGCCACACTCTGCAGTCTGACGCAGCTGACAAGCCTCCGCCTGATGCCACGCCATCAAGACCAAGGCGAACCACGGCTGGCCGTCGCGCTCCTGCCACACCGCTGGTTACCACAGTGCCGGTTACAGCAGCACCGGTAGCCACAGCCCCGGTTACAGCCACGCCTGTTCCAACTCCAGTAAGCACGCGGCGAAGGAGCGCGAGGAGGAGAACAGAGGCCGAGACGGGGCTGGCTGCACCTGCATCGACTGGAGCAGCAGGGGATGCGGAGGGGCTGCTGCCAGCAGCGCTTTTCACGCCTGGCGGACGCAGGATGACGAGGTCTATGGCGCGGGCGCTGGGGTTGGCCATGGAGGGGGGGAGTGAGAGTGGAAGCATGACTCCGAGTGTGAGTGCGAGTGCAAGTGCGAGTGTGAGTGTGAGTGTGTCTGGGATGAGGAGGGGCGGGGCGAGGAGAGGGAGGGGGGGTAGGAGGGGCGGAGGGAAGGGGGACGGGGGGAGCGAGAGTGGGATGAGCGTGGGGGAAGGGGAAGGGGAAGGGGAAGTGGAGGTGGAGAGTAAGGCGAAAGGGACGGGAGGAGGAGCGGGGGAAGGGGCGGTAGGGGGTGATGAGGAGGAGGATGGGGAAGGAAAGAATCTGGTGCTGGAGAGGATTGCTGAGTGGGAGGAGAGGATTATGGAGGTGGAGGAGGAGGAGCAAGAGGAGGAGGAGGTGCGTAGGGAGAAGGAGAAGGCCGGGGAGGAGGCTAAGGAAAAGGCTAAGGAGGTGGCTAAGGGCAAAAGCGCTATGGTGGGAAGGCGGAGAGGTGGCAGGGGTAAGCAGGGGGAGATTAGCAAGGAGGAAGGGAGTGTGGCGGGGGGTGGAGGAGGGGAGGAGGAGGGTGGTGAGGGTGAAGGGGAGACGAGTAAGCGCAAGGAGAGTGAGGAGGGGAGGAACGAGGGAGTTGGGGAGGAGAGGAAGGAGGGCATGGGAGGAGAGAGTGCAGAGGGAAGGCGCGAGGATAGGCAGGAGAACGTGTATGTGCGGAGAAGAAAGAGGGTAGGAGGCGTGGGGGAGGGACTGGCGACGCCTTCGGGAAGCAATGCTGATGCTGCCCTGTGCAAGGAAACAAATAGTGCTGCTTCTCTTCCAGCTGCTGATGCTGTTGCAAGTAGGGTTACGGTTACTGTGGCTGATGTGGGGTTACCGCCAGAGCCGTCTGCTGAACCTGCAGTGTCTGCAAATTCGGATGCTGAAAGGGGAAAGGAAGGGACGCAGGTGAAGGCGGGTGGGGTTGAGAGCGGTGAGAGGGAGTGGTGCATGGCAGCGTGTGGTGACGCGAAGGGTGCTGGTGAAGGCGCTGTTGGGGGAGGCGATGGTGGTGATGGAATTGATGCTGCTGCTGGTGATGCCGCTGCTGGTGCTGCTGGTGCTGCTGGTGCTGCTGGTGCTGCTGGTGCTGCTGGTGATGCTGGTGCTGCTGGTGCTGCTGGTGCTGCTGGTGCTGCTGGTGCTGCTGGTGCTGCTGGTGCTGCTGGTGCTGCTGGTGCTGCTGGTGCTGCTGGTGCTGCTGGTGCTGCTGGTGCTGCTGGTGCTGCTGGTGCTGCTGCTGGTGCTGCTGCTGCTGCTGCTGCTGCTGCTTCTACCGGTGCTGGTGCTGCTGCCGAGGGTGCACATGGCAGTGTGGCAGTGGAGTGTGACGAGCAGCTGGAGGAGGGGAGGAGGGCGGAATCGAGAGGTGCTGCTGCTGGTGGTGCTACTGGCATTGCTGCTGCCGAGGGTGCTCACCGCAGCATGGCAGTGGAGTGTGACGAGCAGCTTGAGGAGGGGAGAGGGGAGGAGGTGGTTACTGGGGAAGGCGAAAGGGATGCACAGCAGCAGGAGGGCCGTGTTGGGCTTCAAGGGGAGATGGATCAAGAGCGGAGGGAGAAGGAGGCGAAAGAAGATAAGACAAGGGAGGAAGTGGAGAGGGAGAGGAGGGAGAAGGAAGAGGCTATAAGGGAGGAGTTGGAGCGGGAGAGGAGGGAGAAGGAAGAGGCCATAAAGGAGGAGTTGGAGCGGGAGAGGAGGGAGAAGGAGGCCGTGGTGCGAGAGCTGCAGAGGATGAGAGGCGAGATGAAGCGGCAGATGGAGCTGATGCAGCTGCAAGTGGTGCGAGCGAGAAGGTCAGTTGGGGAAAAGGGGCGAGTCTCAGGTTAAAGGGTAAGATGAGGGGCGAAAATGAAGAGATAGGTAGAGCTGATGCAGCTGCAGGTGGTGCGAGCGAGAGGTAAGCGTGACTCGTTGTGAGGGAGAGGGAAGGGGGGGGGGGACGGGGGGTTGAGGGAGTAAGGGTCCAACGGAGCTGCAGAGGGTGAGGGGCGAAAATGAAGCGACAGATGGAGCTGGTGCAGTTGCAAGTGGTGCGAGCGAGAAGGTAAGCTTGACTCGTTGTTAGGGGGGAGGGTGGGGGGGGTTTGGGGGGGAGGGGACGGGGGGTTGAGGGAGTCGGGTCTGACGGAGCTGCAGAGGATGAGGGGCGAGATGAAGAGGAGGCAGGTGGAGCTGATGCAGCAGCAAGTGGTGCGAGCGAGAAGGTCAGTTGGGATCACTGGGGGCATTTTTTATATTTCTAGGCATTTTTTATATTTCTAGGCATTTTTTATATTTCTAGGCATTTTTTATATTTCTAGGTGCGTCGTCATGAAAGGATGAGGGGCGAGATGAAGAGGATGAAAGGATGAGGGCCGAGATGAAGAGGATGAAAGGATGAGGGGCGAGATGAAGAGGATGAAAGGATGAGGGGCGAGATGAAGAGGATGAAAGGATGAGGGGCGAGATGAAGAGGATGAAAGGATGAGGGGCGAGATGAAGAGGATGAAAGGATGAGGGGCGAGATGAAGAGGATGAAAGGATGAGGGCCGAGATGAAGAGGATGAAAGGATGAGGGCCGAGATGAAGAGGATGGAAGGATGAGGGGCGAGATGAAGAGGATGAAAGGATGAGGGGCGAGATGAAGAGGATGAAAGGATGAGGGCCGAGATGAAGAGGATGAAAGGATGAGGGCCGAGATGAAGAGGATGAAAGGATGAGGGACGAGATGAAGAGGATGAAAGGATGAGGGCCGAGATGAAGAGGATGAAAGGATGAGGGCCGAGATGAAGAGGATGAAAGGATGAGGGGCGAGATGAAGAGGATGAAAGGATGAGGGCCGAGATGAAGAGGATGAAAGGATGAGGGGCGAGATGAAGAGGATGAAAGGATGAGGGGCGAGATGAAGAGGATGAAAGGATGAGGGCCGAGATGAAGAGGATGAAAGGATGAGGGGCGAGATGAAGAGGATGAAAGGATGAGAGGCGATGCAGCAGCAAGTAGTGCGAGTTAGAAGGTCAGTCGTAAGTTACGGTTGGGGCTTGGCAGTCCACACACCCTCCCCCTTCCTCCCATTTTCCGGTCTCGGGTTTGGGACACACCTCAAGAACTGCTTCACTTTGCCTTCCCTTCCCCTCCCCCTCCCCCCCCACCCTTCCTCCTCCGCTTCTTCCTGTCTGCCTGCATCAGGTACTTCTCGAGCTTCAAAATATTTCTGTGCACTTCTGAGACATCTCAGCAACCTCCTTCCATCTCCCCTTCCCCTCTTCCCCCGTTTCCCCCCCTCCCCCCCCCCCCCCCCACCGCTTCCTCCCGCCTGCCTGCCTCAGTTACCCGAGCTACAAGAAGTATGTGCGCGCTTCTGAGACGTTTGAGCACTTTCCTCCCCTTCCCCCACTCTCTTCCGCCTCTTCCTGCCACTCTCAGGTACTCGAGCTACAAGAACTCTGTGCGCGCTGCTATTGCCACTGCTGCTCACCTGCGGCATACAGCCCGGTCCAAGGTCAGTGTTACCGTGCCCTGCTGATTCGGATTCTAGGTAGTACTATGATGCTCCACCCTCACGTTCGCCTTTTGAGTCGACTCAAAAGTCATACGGCTCGGTCCAAGGTCAGTGTTACCGTGCCCTGCTGATCCGGATTCTAGGTAGTACTATGATGCTCCACCCTCACGTTCGCCTTTTGAGTCGACTCAAAAGTCATACGGCTCGGTCCAAGGTCAGTGTTACCGTGCCCTGCTGATCCGGATTCTAGGTAGTACTATGATGCTCCACCCTCACGTTCGCCTTTTGAGTCGACTCAAAAGTCATACGGCTCGGTCCAAGGTCAGTGTTACCGTGCCCTGCTGATCCGGATTCTAGGTAGTACTATGATGCTCCACCCTCACGTTCGCCTTTTGAGTCGACTCAAGAGTCATATGGCTCTGTCCAAGGTCAGTGTTTCCGTGCCCTGCTGATCCGGATTCTAGGTAGTACTATGATGCTCCACCCTCACGTTCGCCTTTTGAGTCGACCCAAGAGTCATACGGCTCGGTCCAAGGTCAGTGTTACCGTGCCCTGCTGATCCGGATTCTAGGTAGTACTATGATGCTCCACCCTCACGTTCGCCTTTTGAGTCGACTCAAAAGTCATACGGCTCGGTCCAAGGTCAGTGTTACCGTGCCCTGCTGATCCGGATTCTAGGTAGTACTATGATGCTCCACCCTCACGTTCGCCTTTTGAGTCGACTCAAAAGTCATACGGCTCGGTCCAAGGTCAGTGTTACCGTGCCCTGCTGATCCGGATTCTAGGTAGTACTATGATGCTCCACCCTCACGTTCGCCTTTTGAGTCGACTCAAGAGTCATATGGCTCTGTCCAAGGTCAGTGTTTCCGTGCCCTGCTGATCCGGATTCTAGGTAGTACTATGATGCTCCACCCTCACGTTCGCCTTTTGAGTCGACTCAAGAGTCATACGGCTCGGTCCAAGGTCAGTGTTTCCGTGCCCTGCTGATCCGGATTCTAGGTAGTACTATGATGCTCCACCCTCACGTTCGCCCCCCACGTTTTACCCCCAACGTTCGCCCCTTATGATCAGCGGGTGAGCGAACGGGTGAGCGGGTGAGCAGGTCCAGGTGAGCGGGTCTGGGTGAGCGGGTCTGGGTGAGCTGGTCTGGGTGAGCGGGTGAGCGGGTGAGTGGGAGAGCGCGTGAGCGGGTGAGGGGGTGAGAGGGTGAGCGGGTGAGCGGGTGAGAGGTTGAGCGAGTGAGGGGGTCAGCGGATCAGCGGGTGAGCGGGTCAAAGGGTGAGCAGGTGAGCCGGTGAGCGAGCGAGTGAGCGGGTAAGCGGGTGAGCGGGTGAGCTGGTGAGCGGGTGAGCGGGTGATCTGGTGAGCGGTTGAGCGGGTGAGCGGGTGAGCGGGTGAGCTGGTGAGCGGGTGAGCGGGCGAGCTGGTGAGTGGTTGAGCGGGTGAGCGGGTGAGGGGGTCAACGGGTGAGCGGGTGAGCGGGTGAACGGGTGAGCGGGTGAGCGGGTCAACGGGTGAGCGGGTGAGCAGGTGAGCGGATGAGCGGGTGAGCGTTTGAGCGGGTGAGCGGGTGAGCGGGCGAGCTGGTGAGCGGGTGAGCGGGTGAGCGGGTGAGGGGGTCAACGGGTGAGCGGGTGAGCGGGTGAACGGGTGAACGGGTGAGCGGGTGAGCTGGGGAGCGGGTGAGCGGTTGAGCGGGTGAGCGGGTGAGCGGGTGAGGGGGTGAGTGGGTGAGCATGTGAGCGGGTGAGGGGGTGAGTGGGTGAGCGTGTGAGCGGGTGAGCAGGTGAGGGGGTGAGCGGGTGAGCGGGTGAGTGGGAGAGTGGGTGAGTGGGAGAGCGGGAGAGCGGGAGAGCGGGTGAGCGGGTTGGCGGGTGAGCGGGTGGGCGGGCTGGTGGGTGAGTGGGTGAGCGGGTGAGCGGGTGGGGGGTGGGCAGGTTGGCAGGTGGGCGGATCAGCGGTGGGCGGGTCAGCGGATCTGCGGGTCAGTAGGTCAGCGGGTCAGCGGGTCAGCAGGTGAGCGGGTGAGCGGGTGAGCGGGTCCGGGTCAGTCGGTCAGCGGATCTGCGGGTCAGCGGGTCAGCCGGTCAGCTGGTCAGCGGTTCAGGGTCAGCTGGTCAGTGGGTGAGCGGGTGAGCGGGTGAGCGGGTCAGGGTCAGTGGGTGAGCGGGTCAGCAGGTGTGTGGATCAGTGGGTCAGCAGATGAGCAGGTGAGCCGGTCATCGGCATGTGGGGTTGAAGCCATCTCGTTTACCGAGGTCTTTTTCTGTGATGTGTCGCCATTTGCTGCCTGCGTTCACAGCTCTTTCAACAACCCCTGTTCGCCCTCTGCTCGCTGCAGGTTGCCCGAGCCAAAGCACTAGCGGAGGCTCGAAGCAGGGTCCGGGCAGGTGAAACTTCACTCGTGGGGGAAGCTGGTGGTTCGGGCAGGAAGAGGAGATCACCCGGTCAGCAGAGGAAAGGCATGGAGTCGTCACACGAGCAGGGAAGGGCTGAGGAAGGGAGTCAAGGCTGGAATATTGTGATGGAGGGAGAGGAAGAAGTGAGGGGCAAAAGGGCGGACGCTGATAAGGGAAAAAGGAGTGCTGGGGAAGGGGAAGGAGGAAGAGGAAAAGCAGGAGGGAAGGGGAAAAGGAGGAGGGAAGGGGAAAAGCAGGAGGAAGAATCTGCTGACGAGGAAGGGTGGGAGGAGGATGAGGAGGAGGAGCAGGAGGAGCAGGAAGAGGGGGAGGAGGGGGAAGGCGATGAGAAGTGCGAGGAGGAACGAGAGGAGGGAGAGGAGGGCGAGGAGGAAAGTCCTGTGACGCGCAGTGTGCAGCGAGAAGCCTCGTTTAAATCCTGGGTGAAATCAGACAGGTCTGTGGGAGATGGTAGAGCCGGCAGCCCAAAATCGCTTGGATCGTCCGGGGGTACTCATAGTGGGGGAGGATCAAAGAGGAGGATGCAGCTGAGTGGGGGTAAAGCAGGGGGAGGTGAAGCGGAGGAGGGGGAGGTGGATCTGGGGCAGGTGAATCTGGCTGCTGCTCTAGACAGGGCGTGGGAGGAGGAGGAGGCAGGTGAGGAGACAGGTGAGGAGACAGGTGAGGGGACAGGTGAGGGGACAAGGAAGGATAGAGGGCAAGATGGAGCTGGGAAGGAATTTACAGAGGGGGGTGAGTGGGAAGGGAAGCAAGGAGGTGGGGAAGGGAGAGAGCACGGGGATGGAGGAGAGGAGAGTGACACAGGAAGCAGTTCAGAAGGGGGAGGTGAGAGTGCGGAGAGTACTGGAGGATCGTCGGAGTCACCTGGGTCGGATGGCGGTGAGGGGTTTAGTTTTGACGATGTGGTGGCACAGGCAGGCATTGTGGTGACACAGCCAGGCATGGCGCATGCAGGCGTTGTGGCAGATGGTGGGGATAGGGATGTGCAGATGCATGCTGGAATTACTCGTGCTGTCAAAGATGTTGATGCCGATGAAGCTGGTGCTGATCATGCTGCGGGTGGTGCGGGTGCTGCTGCTGGTCAGGCGGTTGGGAAGAGAAGGGTGGGTGGGAATGGCCGCGATGGGTTGAAGGTCGCAGATGAGGCAGCGGCTAAGGGGGATTTTGGGTGTGGGGTGGGAGAAGGAGCGGAAGGGAGGGGTGAGGAGGTGGGGGAGGGAGAGGAAAGAGAGGAGGGGGAGGTGGATGAGGAGAGTGAGGAGGGAGGGGAGGAGGAGGAGAAGTCTAGTGGGGAGAAGGCAGGATTGACCAGTGCTCCGACGCATGCTTCAGCTGGAAGGGATGGTGCGAACGAGGAAGGTGTGATGAATGGAGGAAGGGGTGGGACTCAGGAGGAGAGCCAAGCAGGCGCAGGATCAGGTAAAAAACCAAGTGCTTTGAAAAAGAGAATGGGGGTTCTTAAAGGTAGTGAGGGGGGCAGAGCAGGAGGTATCACTAAGGTGGTCAGGGAGGGAGGGGGGACAGAGGCAGTGGAAGGGGAAAAGGCTGGAGGGAGGAAGAGAAAGGCAGGGACACAGGGAGATGCTGACGTGTTGGACACGTCGCATGGTAAACATGGCCGTCGACTCGAGGATCGTGCTCATGTGCATGGCCATCCCGATGGGCAGGACGATGGGCATGGGCATGGGCACGGGCATGAGCATGGCCATGGGCATGGGCATGGGCACGGGCATGGGCATGGTGTTGTTAGACTCGGGTGGAGGAAGGTTGGTCGAAAGTGGATGTTGTACCGCATGCAGGGATGCTGCTGATGATGGATGTACGTACCTGGGCCAATAACGGTCAATTGCAGCAGGTCGAGTTTAGAAGAACCTATACCTTAAGTTGTGACTAAATGGTTTTAGGATTGGCAATTAATAGGATCGTTTAGTCATGGAGACATTGGAACGTGATTGCGGAAGATCATGGTATCTTCGTTGATTAGGAAATTGCGTTTGTCAATACCATTTTAGCATAGCCCGAATGCCACTTCTGAAGGTTTACCACATATCGAGCTCCTTCAATCGAGGAAATTGATTTCCTAGGCCGATGTCAAGAAACATGAAAATGAAAATCACCTCTCTGTCGGAATTCCCCATGCCTGAAATTCAATTTCCAGCCAATCATGGTAGCCTCGTCCAGCCATGAGCTCTACATGGCTGACATGCGGAACCAGGTATGCGCTGACGACGCGCCAATGCAGGCTTCAAATCCAGGCAGCTTACGTCAGATCCACATAATCCTCGTCCGCCATTTAGTGGTTGCCAGACAGCACCTGCTGCCTGGCGGCATGGCTTGGACCCCCATCCGTGGGAAGACGCTTTCCCGTTGCCGTTACTGTCACCGTCTAAAGATTCCGTTTGGAACGCGACATTGCTGGTGATTTAGTAGACTAAGGAGTGACTGAGCGGTAATGTGACTGCTGTTGATGCGTGGTCGCATTCCTTCATTGGACGAGGCTCATACTCGTCGTCGCTAGTGGCGTGATTTCAAGAGTTTCTGTGAAGTCGAGAACAATTCCTAGCACAGCGTTACTACTTCCGAGCGACCGAAACTCTCGGCACTTTCGATTCTTTCAGTTCGAAGTGCCGAAAGAATTGAAGTTCTTTCGACAGAAACGCAGAAGCATTCGTTCAGTTCGCCGGGTTATCTCTCGCGGTCCTTCACGAAACCCAGCCATGGCTGCTGAACGCAAACCGCCGGTGGGAGGTAGCGGACTCGTCTCCTTCGTGCTGACCTTGCTCCTGGTGCTGCTGGTGGTGCTCCCCTTGACCCCCTCGGGAATTACGACCGTCGCTGGGCTTCCGCTGCGAGACTTCCGCGGCAGCAGGCGAATTGGGGTTACCAGTCGCGCGAGCGGGGTTGAGATTCTCGCACCTGCTGCAGATGGCTCCGGAAACGCCAGCAGCGGCACCCCGCCTCTCCCCATGGCGGGGATATTCGGGGACCTTCAGGTGTGGTTTTGATTTATTGCTGTCGTGGAGGTTCTCGTATTGAACACTGGTCATAAGTTTAGGGAGTTCTTAACGTCTCCTACTATAGCGGGGATTTTCGGGGACCTTCAGGTGTGGTTTTGATTGATTGCTGTCGTGGAGGTTTCTTCTCATATTGAACACTGGTCATAAGCACCATGGCTGGGATATTCGGTGACTAGTTTTGAGGCGCCTCAAAATCCGCGTGATAGGAGTCTAGTTTTGAGGCACCTCAAAACTAAACTGGTCATAAGCACCATGGCTGGGATATTCGGTGAGTCCCGCAGCTTCCGGCTACTCCTTTTAGCAAGCCATGGGGTCCCTGCATCCAACCCTTCATAAACCCATGGACTAAGTTGCCTTCACCAACGACGCTGGCGACAGTTTAGTTTTGAGGTGCCTCAAAACGCGTGCAAGTCATGGGGTCCCTGCATCCACCCCTTCATACACCCATGGACTATGTTGCCTTCACCAACGACGCTGGCGACATGCCGCCATGACAAGGCATCCCTAGAGTGTCTTCTTCTCTCCCTCCCTCCCACCAGAGCCCAGCAGCCTCTGGCTATTCCTTCTTCGTGCGGGCCATGGCGTCTCTGCAGCCCCCCATGGACTATGTTGCCTTTCTCAACGGTGCTGTGGGTATGGCCAACGGCATCACCGTGCTCGCCCCCTCCAACGCTGCCTTCCAGGTAACCACTCCATCGTGCGCCAGTGTGCGTGCCAGTGTGCACCAGCGTGCATGCCAGGTGCGCCAGTGTGCGTGCCAGTGTGCACCAGCGTGCGTGCCAGGTGCGCCAGCGTGCGTGCCAGTGTGCACCAGCGTGCGTGCCAGGTGCGCCAATGTGCGTGCCAGTGTGCACCAGCGTGCGTGCCAGGTGCGCCAGTGTGCGTGCCAGTGTGCACCAGCGTGCGTGCCAGGTGCGCCAGTGTATGTCAGGTGCGCCATTGATGTCAGGTAAGGGCTCCCCGCAGCCCCCCATGGACTACGTTGCCTTTCTCAACGGTGCAGTCGGTGTGGCCAATGGCATCACCATCCTAGCTCCCTCCAACGCCGCCTTCCAGGTATTTATGGCGTGCCACATGCGTCACAGCATCCCTCAGAGCTAACATCAGTGTTGATAGCATAGCCCCACTCCGGGTGCAGTGGGCATGGTCAACGGCATCACCATCCTCGCTCCCTCCAACGCCGACTTCCAGGTGAGCTCTGCATGCCAGGTGCACCAATCTACTCGAGTTATTCCTGTATGTGTGTACCACCTAAGTAACGAATTGGCTACTAGAGGGCGGCGTGTTGTCAACAGAGCAGTATGCATGGCCAACGGCATCACCATCCTTGCCCCCTCCAACGCTGCTTTTCAGGTGAGCACAGCCTCCATCCCATCCCTCCCTGCAACCTCTCCCCTCAATCCCTCTCAATCCCTCTCAATCCCTTTTATTCCCTCCCTGGTCCTCGGCCCATACGCCTCCTTCCTGCCTCTCGAACTACACCTGCTCCGGTACGGACACTCCTCAACCACCGCATCCTTGACTCAACCTCAATCTCCCTCATTACAACTCTTCCCCCAACCCTCCCCTTTCCTCCCCAGGTCCTCGGCCCATACACCGGATGCCTCTCCAACTACACCCGTTCCGGACCAATCCTAGCCACCCTGCTCAACCACCACATGCTCTACGGAACCTTCCCGGAATCCGCCCTGTTTGACGGGCGGCACTATTTCACTCTCGCCAACACCCACGTGGGGGTGACTCGGAATGCAACGGGGGTGTATGTGGAGGATGCGCGGGTGGTGGAGCCAAATAAGTTCGCTGGGTACAATGGCATGGTGCATGGGATCGACCGCGTCATGTTTCCACCAGGCATAACTCCCTCTGTAAGTATGGTGGTACATCCATGGGGGGCTATTTGTGGAGGATGCTGGGGTGGTGGAGCCGAATAAGTTCGCCGGCTACAACGGCACGGTGCATGGCGTCGATCGGGTCTTGTTCCCTCCTGGAATCACCCCCTCTGTAAGTATGGTGATACATCCATGGGGGATTGTATGTGGAGGATGCGCTGGTGGTGGAGCCGAATGAATTCGCGGCATACAACGCCATGGTGCATGGGATCGACTGTGTCATGTTCCCACCTGGGATCACTCCCTCTGTGAGTGTGTGGTGCACAGTGGTGCAAGTGGTGCACTCATGGGTTGTGTATATGGGGGGGATGCGAGGGTGATGGAGCTAAATAAGTTCACTGGATATTATGGCATGGTGCATGGCATCGACGGCATCATGTTCCCTCCTGGGATCACATCACTCCCTCTGTGAGGGTGCGTCTTTCTCCCCCATGCATTCCTCACAACTTGCACTTGTTCTAGTTTCTTCTGCCGCACCTTGACTTGACCATTCTTTTCTCCCCCCCCCGTCTCACCCATGCAGCTGTTTGTGATATGCAATCAGACTGGCCAAGGTCTTGCTGTATAAAGACTGCACGATTTCTGCAGGGTGGGTTACCATATTACCTTACCAATGACTCATGGGCCATGACGCCTGGCTCCTTATGTAGTCGACGCAAGCATAAGATAGGGATGGCCAGGGTCTTGCTATTCAACGACACGGCCATTTCTGCAGGGGGGGTTCACACCATGACTCTTGTTCACGAATGTTGGTCACGAATCATTTCCAAGGATGAAGACAATTGTTCTCTCTGACTTGCGAAACAAACTGCCCAGGGTCTTGTTGTGTTTGTACCGTACTGCTGAGCCATTGCCTTACTTGGAGCATGCTGTAGAGTCATCCTCGTTGTTGGGCTGAAAAAAAAGCCCTTAGGATCTTTTGCAGAGACTAAGTCCCAGCTTGTAGAGACTTGAGACTTGGAGTAGTGCAGCGGAAGTTGAGGCAGTTGAACCCTTGTACTAGTATGTGAGAACAAGTGATTGATTAAGGAAACAAGCATACAGCAATATATAGAAGATAAGAAAGCAGTTGTAGAGTACAGTTACAGGAACGGTTTATCGAGTCGCACAGCGACTCGATTGCTACTTCGGTTACCATCCATGATGCTGTAACGGTCAGTCGCAACCTCCAGTTGCGACCTTTCGCATTCTTTGTCCGCCCCCTCGTGTAACCTCCGTTGACTCGCGTGCTCCCTTGTAGTCTTCCTCGAGTGTAGTGTTACACTTCAGAAACGCTTAAGTTCTTTGAGATATTTCCAACACTCCCCTTCGTTTCTGGAGTGCTGTTATGTTCGGATCTGGTGACGTTTGTCTGTCCGGTCAGCAGCATGCAATGGTCGAATTTTGTCTTCGCCAATTTCTTCGTCAAATAGTCTGCGGCCATTTCTGTCGTCGGGCAGTAACTGAGTTGAAGTCTCCCCTTCGCGATTTCATCCTTGACGAAGAAGTACCGTAGGGCGATGTGCTTGGTTCGGTTGGCGAAGCCATCCTTGTTCGCGATTTTGATCGCGGATTGGTTGTCGCAGAGGAGTGAGAAGGCGGGTAGGGTCGCGATCTTCGCTTCCTCGAGTAACTCCCGTAGGTAGAGTCCTTCCTTGGTCGCAGTACAAAGGGCGATATACTCTGCTTCAGCCGAGGATAGTGCGATTAACTCCTGCTTGCTCGACTGCCAGGAGATAGTTCCGATGGGCTCTAGTCGGTAGATGTAGCCCGTCCTGGATCGTCGATTTTCCTTATCTCCCGCGTGGTCGGCGTCGACGTATCCGAGTAGTCGTACGGACGGTGTTGTTGCTTTGCTGTAGGTAAGCCCGATCGTCGGCGTGGAGACGAAGTAGAGTAGTGCCCGGTTGAGCTCCTCGAGATCTTCCTGTTCCGGTTGCTTCAGATGTGTCGCCAGTTGACTTGCACTGTAGGACAGGTCGGGTCGGCAGGTTACTGCTGCGAATAGTAGGCAGCCGAGCTTCTGTTGATACTCCTGGATTTGCTTCGCGGGGAGTTTTGCGGAGGCGCTGTTGTTATTTCCGTAGCGGTAGGGGGTCGGGATCGTAGTCGGCGTCAGTCCGAATTTCTTCGCGATAGTGCCTGCGTACTTTCCAGCGTGTAGGTAGAACGCCGAGTTGTCTTCGACGACATTCAGTCCTAGGTACTGGGTCACTTCGTCGGACACCGTGAGTGTTAAGTCTTCTTTCAGCTCCCCTTCGAACCAGGTAGCGATGTCGGTAGTGGAGCCGATGTAGAGCAGGTCGTCGACGTAGACGATGAGTAGGACATACTCTCTTCCCTTCTGCAGTCGGTACATCCCTTGGTCATGCGGCAGTTGTAGGAATCCGATTTTTGCGAGACGGCCGTGAAGGTGCTGCTGCCAGAGCCGTGGGGCTTGCTTGATCCCGTATAGGGATTTCGTCAGTCGGCATACTTTCGTGGGGTCGTCGATGAATCCGTGGGGTTGTTCGACGAAAATCTCAGCGTCCACAGGTGCGTATAGGAACGCATTGGCGACGTCGATTTGGCGTAGTGGTAGTGTCTTCGTGGCCGCGACGGCGAGTAGGATGCGTAATGAGGTGTGACGGGAGACTGGAGCGAAGGTTTCTGTGTAGTCGGTCCCGTATCGTTGGTCGAAGCCTCGTACGACCCATCGAGCTTTGAATCGTTCGATGGAGCCGTCTGAGTTGGTCTTGATGCGGTACACCCATTTCCCTGAGAGGACGTTTTTTCCGTTGATGCTTGTTGCAGGTACCAGTTTCCATGTTTTCCGGTCTTGCAGAGCCTTTAACTCATTTTCCATCGCTTCCTTCCATTTCGCCTTATGTTCCCCCCCAGAGCCTGCGACAAGGTCGAAGGCTCTCGCGGAGAAGGCGGCGGCGGATGCTGGACGGAGACCCAGAGGCCTAGAATCTGCAGTCCCGTGGGTGTGTGTCGAGGGGAATTTTCATTCCCGGAATAAGCTGCTTCGTCACCGTCTTCTGGGTCAGGTAAGAAGTTGGGACCGATGCGTTCTGAAACATTTGTGTCGACTGGGTGGGGTGTAATGTAACCTTGGTCAGCGAAGTGGTAAAAGGTGTCGAGGTTGTTGCTATCGAGAGGATTGTCTTCGTCGAGTGGAACAGGTACGGAACAGAATGGGAGTGGTCCGGCAGCTTCCGAGGCTTCAGGTACGTCTTCTTCTGCTGCGTCAGCTTCGGCAGCACGGTCGGCGAAGGAACGAAGTCCCGAGAAGCCGTCGGTGGGGTCTTGTGTGTTGGCAATGTTGTCCAGGTAATGCTGCAGCGTCAGTCGCTCGTAGAAGATAACATCACGTGATGCCACGGTATTTTTGTCTTGTATGTCGAGAATTTTCCACGCATGAAAATGTTTTGCGATGCCGAGGTGTAGTCCCCACCGAGCTCGTTGTGTGAAGCGTCCTGCTCGGGCTGTGTGGGGTCTGTACTGTACCATGCAGCCAAAAACTCTGAGTAATTTTGTGCTGCCCCTTTTTCTTGTCCACAACAGGTGCGGTGATGCGTTGTTGGGAAGTGATGACGAGGACAGCAGGTTGTGCAGGTGAACAGCATGTGTCATCGCGTCGGACCACAGTGTGGTTGGCAGTCTCATCCCCTGAAGCAGTTTTCGCATTGTCGTCTGCAAGGTCCGATTCATGCGTTCTGCGACCCCCTGCTGTTGGTGAGCATAGGGCAGGGACACCAGGCGTCTGATTCCTCTTTCCGCCAGATAGGTCCTGAAGCGTTGTGACTGGTATTCCAGTGCACCGTCTGACTGGAAGCTCTTGAGTTTGAGTCCTGATTCTCGTTCGGCGATGGGAAGCCATGTTGTGAAGGCTTCGAAGGCTTGATCGCGCGTCTTGAGATTGAAGTGCCAGACATATCTTGTTGCGGCGTCGATGAACGTGATGACGTAGTTGAAGTCGGCTTCGGTGTCGTCTCGAGGCATGTTTAAAATATCGCTGTAGACCTTTTCCATCAGAGCGTAAGTAGGTGCGCTTGGGTTGTGATGGGATGGGAAAGGTTGATGAGGAAGATCTGCTTCGGGGCATGTGAAGCACCGTGCGCGTGGTCGTCGAAGTTCTTGGCCGCTCGTCGTCAGAAGGGCGTTGCGTTCTAACACATCTGCTTGGATTGTTTGAAGTATCGTGCTGTTTGCAGGATGTCCGAGACGTTGGTGCCAGATGTCGTCGGGAGCGCGGTGACCAGGCGAGCGGTGGTAGATGTCGGCATTGGAGAAGAACGCGACGACCGAGGCGGGACTTCGACAAGCTTCTCGTGTGGCGGGCATAAGTTGGTCTGCTTCGGTTGGTGGTCCTCGTGTCGCTGGTGGTGGTACTCGGCTGGGTCCTGCTGCCGATACTGCAGGTGATGGTTTTGTTAGGACACGTGCGGGTACTTGTCTTTCTTGTCTGATAACTGCTAATGCTCGTGTTCTCTCTGCTGTAGGTATGGTGTTGGAGTGCCAGAAGCCGTCACTGTCGAAGTCGGGATCAAGATCCGGCGGGTGAGTCCAGGCGGCGAATGATACGATACCGTCGCTGTCGGCAGTACCGCGGTCGGGGACGAAGTCCAACACGAAGACGCCGGACTTCAGGAGGGCACGACCGATGAAGAGGCCGCCCTTCCCGTGGTAAAGTCGAAACTCGTTGGAGTAGGAGTCGCACTCCAGGTGAATCCCCTTGGCCATTAGTTGGCTTACGCTTAGTAGGTTGTATCCCAGATTGTCGACAATGAGCACTTTGTTGAGCTGAAGTATGACGTTTGTCTCCATCGATTGTAACTGAACCACGCCTTGTCTGTTTGTCTTCAGGTTTTCGTTGTTGGCGACGGTGATGACGACGTCGCGGTTGAGGCGTTTCTCCTGTTGCACGAAGCGTCCCGAGGAGCACATGTGTTGACCGCAGCAGCTGTCCAAGAACGAGGTGTTTCGCCCGGTGGGTTCGGCGTTGGCGACCGCAGCATATGTTGGATTGACTTGAAGGCCTTGTGAGCGCGGTGGCGGCAGCTCTTCTTTGTCTGGCGCGTAGGTGGATGGTGATCCGGGTGCGCAGTTGTCGATGTGTACCATGCAATTGATGATGTTTGGTGTTTGTTGTGCAGATGTTGAAGAGCGCCTTGGGGGACTTGCTTGAGTGGAAGCGACTTGTGGGTCTGCTGGACGGTAAACGCGAGGGCGGTTGCAGTTGACCTTGGAGTGCCCGGAAGTCTGGCAGTTGTGGCAGAACGGCGGCACGAAGGTAAGTCCCCTGTTGTCGCGTTCTTGCTTGCCGCGTCGATTGTAGGTGTTGTCGTTTCTTCGTTGAGTGTAGAAGACTAACTGCTGTTGCTTTCTTGGTTGTCTTTCCTCGAACAGATCCATCTCCTGTTGTTCAGCGTGAAGCTCGGCGCAGAGGTGCATCTCCGAAATTCTTCCGTGGGCTCGAAGAAGTGATCGTGTGGTTCTCCATTCTGGCCCGAGCCCGGCGAGGACAAGTGTCACGAAGCTTTCTTCAGTGATCGTTCCTCCGCACCGAAGCAGGCGGTCGCGGAGGGTCTGGCAGCGACTCATATACTGCATCGCCTTTTCCCCGGTCTTCATCTGTATTGTTGTCAGCTGTTGCATGAGTCTGCTTTGTGTCACGCTGTCGTTTGCTTGATAGAGGCACTTGAGATGATGCCATGCGAGTTCCGCGGAGTTTCCATAACTTCGATACGTTCTGATGCTCTGCTGCTCTTGTGGTGACAGGTTTCTCAGGAGTACCGTATACGCCAGCAGCGACTGATACGTGAAGATTTCTTGTTCCTTCCCAGTGCCGTTGCTTG